CTGCACTTGGAAAAAATCTATCAACGCACTGATCGAACCTTGGGCACATGCCATGTTTATTTTATTGCATTTATTCAATACCAAAAATGTATAATATCCAAAAAAGAAAAGCAACTATTTGCCATTAATTTTGGGCATTTTGGAAGCAATAAAATGCAAAATATTTGTTTGGATAATTAGGGCAATTTCGATTTAGTTCATTGAAATATGAGTATGCGTAAATATGCTATACAGATTTATCTACAATTTGTATACTCTAGCAGATGGTAGTAAAATTTAAACTATATATATCTGGCATATTCATTTCTGAAATTTATATATTTTCGACTCAACTCAAAATTGATTTGTTTTATTTATTTATACCCCGCTGTTAGTGTATGCCTCTGCCTGTTTCTAATTTGGTTTCATCTTGAATATCAGCCGTAATTGATTTCCAATTCTAACAACGAAACACTAATTGCGGTGCTATGTGGGGGATGGGGGTGAGCTTGGTGCGGTCATAATTATTTCGGCCTCGATTCGAGTGCACACATTCTTTTGCGGACCAGCAAACCGCGTTTGCAATTAATTTTTTGGCACAAATTTAACACACAAAACGCGTAAATAATCAAAAATGAGATCACAGCTCACTGTGGTGCACAGTGGCACAAAGCTTGCTCTGCTGTTGTTGCAACTGCATTTGCAGCTGCATCAAATAACAATGGATGTGCTGGATCTGCGTGCTGCCCGCCTCCACACAGCTGCCAGGGTAGAGCTGTTATCCTGTGATTGTGGCGAGTTTTCCGGCTGGCTTTTGCTTAGGCCTCGTTTCTCGTTTCTGGTTTCATGTGGCACATTGCACGTTGCACGCCGCCCAAAACCAGTTGGCAGTCATGAAACAATAATGTCCACAAATTGACGCCACAAGCTGTTGGTTCAATGAGAGAACACACACAGGCACACACACACACACAAGCAGCACAGGCACACACACACACAGGCACACGCAAATGCAAATGCACTGCGTCTGTGGCACTTCCTCCGTGACGCCATATTGAATTTGTACCTCTGCCTGAGCTGGAGCCTGAACAGGAGCCTCAGCATCAGCTTCCGCTGGTGCCTATAGCACCCGCGGGGGTCTCCTCACTCCACTCACTCCACTCTGCTCTGCTACGTTGTGCTGTTTTGGTTCTGTTTTTATTTGCCAGCTTGCTTTCTGCTGGTTAGCTGGTTGAATTTCCTCGAAATTTCACAGGCACCCAGGCACACACACGCACACCACACACTGTGGCGTGTGCCACGTACGAGTCGCGCGTGTTCCTCAGGAAAATACAAGCCAACATATTGGCTCCCTCTCTCTCTCTCTCTCTCTGGCTGCTCTCCCCCAGAGCAACAATTATCGGTTAGCGTTGCGGCTGGCCTCTCGGCAACTTGTTGTTTAAAATGCATTGTGTGTGTGTGTGTGTGTGTGGGATGCCTAGAACAGCAATTTACGGCGGAGATTTGCCCGTGCCTACTCCAAAAATGTCGACTACTCAGAATTTTTGACTCCAATGCCAATTTTTGGCACACTCCAGAAAATTGTTGTACCCCCTACCCATACGTATACGTAATTTATGCATTTAATGTGCGCATCGTGCCTGTTAAATTATTTGCCATAATTAGCAATCAAAATCTAGGCATTAATTTAATTAACCGCATGCTGAATATTAACCGCAATCAACTGGTTTTCAGCAACAAAAGAGTATTCCTCGCTGTTTACTTGAACGAATTATTGGAATTTAATCTAGTGAATGCATTTCCACTGCACAAGCAAATATTTGCACTCCCCACTGCCCCCCTTTTTGGGTGTCCAGCTGAGCAACCAATTAACACTACAACTGCCCTGCCCACCCAATAAATAACAATTAATGTTTTATGCACAATCAACAATTAAAACAAAAAAAAAATAGAAAATATACCACATACGGATAATAAAACAATTTGCGGTTTTTTTTTTGTTTGTTTTATGTGTGTGGGCCAAAACGTTTTTGAAATTGTGTGGCATATCTAACAATAACGAAAATTCGACATACAATGCGGTTTAAGCACTCACTGGCAGCAGCAGCAGCAGCAGAAACAATTCGACAATGAAATCAAATAAAGGCAGAGCAGAGGCAGGAGCAAGAGCAGGAGCAGGAGCAAGAGCAGTGCAGTCAACACACACATTTATTCAAATCAAAACAAGCTCAAAAAGATGTCAGATAAAAAAATCAACTAAAGAAGTGAGAGCTGCCTCTCTCTCTCTCTTCAAATTGGGCTCAATGCAAAGCCCCAAAAAACACACAAGAACCCAAACCCATCGGACATCCCTTCACACGCGCTCTTTACACTTGCAACATTTTTATTTCCACTGGTTAATACACTAAGAGAGAGTGCTTTTATTTTGTTTGGAGCTTTGCAATGAATATAATTAAATATTTAAATTAAATATCCTCTATAAGATATATATGTATACTCATAGCTGTAAGTATTTATAATAATATTACTTTAAAATCTAATTTGTGTTTTTTTTTTATTTTATTTATTTTTACTGCAGCAGAGTCAGAGCTGCCCACATTGGCTGCCTATATATTCTAGATCTTCTATAAAGTATCTATAAAGGGTACTTATTAAATAGATAGATATTTTTAGAGGGCATAAAGCTTCATGCTAATCAAAATTATGCTCCCATAAGAGCTCCTGTTTATTCAAGGGTAGCTGCCACTTCGGCCCTACGAACCTTCCTCTCTATTTCCTCGTTTTGTTTCCGTTTTGGCTGCCCTTTTTTTGGCGTTGTATCCTTTGTGTCCTAGTGGTGTTTGGTGTCCTGTTGTTGCTTTTATTGCTCTGTCATGTTTATGTTGGCAAAGTTGTTTTTGTTTGCCGTGTAATCGAGTCAATTGTTTCCGCTCCGTCGATGAGGCAATCGACTGCGTCTGTTTTTTATGGCTCTTTTTTTTTGTTTTTTATTCACTCTCCCACTCTCTCCCACTCCCACTCTGTTTTTGTGTTGCTTTAGTTTTTGTTGTTGTTTGATGGCGTTGATACGGCCAACATCCGTTTAGTGTAGTGGCCCAAAGGGCGTTTCCCTGACAAGGGTTAATAAGCCTTCTGGGGCCATGTCACTTTTGACAGAGATGAGCAATGTTTTCTATTAAATGAACTCAAGCTAATGAAGTTGCCCGATTTAAGGAGCTGTTGGATTGCAGCTAGTAAAATAAGTGAGTGATTTTTCGAACAGGGAAAGGGATTTATGTGAGAATTATTGCGGATATTTGTACACAAAAAAATATGAAACGTGTGCCCTTGTATGTACTTTTGTGATTGCCAATCTCTCAGCCATTTATTTCTTTCCTACTTTGCTTTCTCCATTCCAAACAAGTCCCTTCCCGGTAAGCATTTTATTGAAACAATGGCAGCCCCATTCAAGTCTGTCTTGAGAGAAGTTGCTTGTTTTTCTTTTATGCCGCACTCATTAACATTCCCGTCCGGCCAATTGCCACCCACAAATTTGGGGCATCTTATGGGCGCCATAGCCATAGACCCCGTCAACAGCTGGGACATAATTAACCCTTATTTGTACATTTTATTGCCGTGCACCATAAAAGGGCCATTTAAATTACAAAGCGCTATATATATACAGCGAAAACCTTTGGCCAGGACTGGCCGTTGAGTTGCTTCAGTGCTGGCATCCTGGCGCCCGGACGCCAGGACGCGGCGCGATATTGTCTGAGTTGGAATGCTGATTGTTGAGTGGCGTTTAACTTTAAGGAAATTGGTCGGTCGGTTGGCTGCTGCTGCTGCTGCTGCCTTAAAGCAGCTTACAATTTACAGTTTGGCCGCCGTCGCCGCACTGTGGGCCAAGCCGCTTAACTGGCATAATCCAAGTATCTGGCCAGAACGCAGCAGCAGCAGCAGCAGCAGCAGCAGCATAGCCCAGACCCACACTTGACCCTTTCACAGCTACTTCTGTTCTGTTTCCTCTGTTCTGCTCTCTGCTCTCGGCTCTTTTCCAACCAAAAATCCATTCATTGCCCTCTTTTCTCTCTCTCTCTTTCTCTCTCCCCTTTTTTTTTTATGTTGCGGCACCCATCAAAGTTGAATGCGTGTGCGTGTCTGATGCGGGCAATGGTCATCATCGAAGTGGTTTCGGGACGAAGAATTTGCTTGTTAGGTCATAAAAATTCAATAGCTAAGGGTTCACTTCACCCCTTGGTCAGTGGTCAGTGGTCAGTGGCCAGAGAGTCCTTGAGTGTGATTGAAACTGGTGGTGACTTGATTAAGGGGCATACCAAATACCAAATGCCAAATGCCGTGTGGCAACTGGTTTTTCTAAGCTTTAGTAGCTTTTTGTTTGCAACCCTTTTGCGCGATGGCTGCACTTTTGTAATTCCCAAGAGGTTCTGGCTGCCATTATGCATATATAGTTGGTGCATTTTGTTCCACTCTCCACCAGCCTTGTGCAGTGGCAATATCGCAAGCAATGAAGTCACAACTGAGCTGCGATTATTGCTAGTTGAAAACTTTAACCAATAACTCGCCCTCTGTGCTGTGCCGCAAGGTTCTGTTACAGTGAGGCAATTTTTTTAAGGTCCCAAAAGGACCGCATCATAAATACATTTCAAGATTAGAACACAAGGGTTACAGCACAATTGAAACGCAAATATATTGTGCAATGAGTCCTCATGAACCTCCGAAAGGACTGACAGCAGAGAAACTTTAAATAGTTTTTATATTGGGTTTAGGGCAGCAGGTCGAGCAGACCAACAGCGCTGTTAACACCCCGCAGTTACAGCCTGTTAACGCTCTAGGTTACCGACGCTTCATTAACAAACCTTTTACTCTTTGGTTTACATCTCATCTCCACTGTTAGCGCTCTCTCCGACAACTCTGACTCTTAGATCTTTCTGCTTGATTACCTTCTCCTACATCTACAACTTTATCGACACTTCTACAACCAAAGTTAAGTAAGTTTTTTCTTTGTATATTATATCAGAATTTCTGTTTAATGCTTAGCTCTATAATAGCCTAACTATATTCTATGTTTCACTGAATGTTTGCAAGCCCTTCCATTCCATTCCATTCCACTACTCCGCTCTCTTCTTTGTCTTTTTCCTCTTTTTAACTGTGGAGGCACTCGACAACTGTTGCAGTGAGGAGTAGCCCGTGGAGGTGGAGTCTCGACTCTGTCGATAGGTGTGCAAAGGCTTTCTAGTCAGCCAGAAGCGTATGAGAAAGTTAAACTCTGCCTTCAGGGCCAACATAACGGGTATCTGTAAATAAATATAAAACTAAATTAAAGAACAGCATTCGGGGAGAGTGAGCAAACAAACCTTCTCTTTAACAGCAATGCGCTGGACATGCCATAGGAACTCTGCTATGCCAATGAGAAAGGCAATTAATAAGCCCACAATGAGCATTACAAAGAGTCCACCCACAGAATCCATATCGAATTGCCCATCATCGATGGTCGTGTCCTCGACACAGGTGCTCTCATTGTTATTGAACCATTTGTTGCGCAAATTATAGAGAACACCCTGCTCGCTGAGCTTCAGTATGCCCACACTGAGATTCGAGCGAAAGTTTGCATCTATCGGGGGGTATATAGAATATATAAAATAAAATATGGGAAAATATACACTGGTACACTCACTCAATGGCACTGCAATGCCGTAATGCTTCTCCCCAAAACTGTCGCCAATCTGTGTGAGCTCACAGTTTCGCTGCACATAGTACTGCAGACTGGTCGTCTCCATGAGAAAGGCATAGGTGCCGCGGCTTAGCTTCACGCGATCCACACCCTCCTCATTGTTTTTGGTAAATGCATCGGGCTTAAACGACAACATCTTGTTCCAGGCCATGCGATTCTCCGTGTCGTTGGACTCGGAAAAATAAACGGATGTTGCACCACCGCGTATGGTGCCAAATTGCACCTTATTCTGGTCAACGAGGTCATGCAGCGAGCCTATGCTTCCCGACAACTTTGATGAGGTTATAAAGGCAGCCAATTTGGCGATATAAGTCTGAGATATGAGCAGTGCAAAGATCCACCAAAAGGCGGTGAGCAGGCGCATGGGTAGGCCCCTGAAAAAAGGGAGAAAAAATATATAAAAAACGGGCGGGTCGCGGGCCGCTCCCCGCCGTGTCAGTTGGTTGAAAAATTACTTTACTTACTGCGGGAAGCACATCCGGCTCCTCTGTGCGTGGGTGGCCCCCCCCCTCCTGGGGGGGGGGCGGTATCCGGCGGTAACACTGCAACCAATTGGGCCCTAGCTCTAGGCGCTCACAAGCGGACAGCACTGGCTTCCTATGTGCTGTTTTTTGGGGTCGCCCCCTCTCCCCCACTTTACCCTTCCCTTTTGGTCGGGTAAAAAAGGAGGAAAAATATAACTCTATACAGATTGACTTACCTGGGCAACAAATCACAGCCTTGCGTCAGTATGGAGCCCAACACCAGCCACATGGTATTATGCATATTCCAGATATTTTGACGCACCAGCTCACGATTGGCATTCTCCGCCGGCGGTTCCCATTCATACTGGTCCATGCGTCCGGCCAATATCATGGCCATCGATGTGATCATCATGGCAATCATGACATACAGCCAAACCTCCACACCATACGGATTGAGGAAACCATAGATATCCGCCTTGGGCGGTGGCTCCTTGTACGACAGAATGCTGATGCCCAGTTGCATGAAGGGCACTGTGAAATCCACCACCGAACGACGCGCCTGGGTAATGGTCAGATCACAGATGCCAATTTGGGCATTCTGCAAAGGAAAAGTTGCTTAAATTATTATATTAATTTTATATATTTCTGTGTCTCACATTGTCAATCAGCTGTCGTATAATGCCATCCCATTCATCGGTGGCCGCATCATAGCTGCCATATTTATTATCCCTAACTGGTTCAAAGTCAAACTCGAATTTACATTCCTCGGCCAATTTATAAATCAAATCCACGGCATAGCCCTCAAAGCGTTCATTGCCCTCATAGTGCACACCCTCGGGTTCGTCGCTGCAGGCAGAACGAAAAGTTAGAAAAAATAAAACAAAAAAAAAACGACAATTGTAGGTGCTACTAACCGCCAGCTAAAGTAGGGTTTGCCCACACGAGTGGCCACTGTAAATCGCACTGGTTTCTGCGAGAAATCCTCCTTATTCTCCAGACGTCGCTGCTTCACCGCCTGCGTCGAATTCTCCTTGATCTTCTCCTTATCCACCAGCTGAAAGTCTTTATTCCAAATGTGTGTCACACGATCGATGAGCGGATTATAAACTTCCAAATTGAAATCCTCACGCTGCCCATGCGCATTGATCTTCAGGCGTTGCGTCTTGAACGGCGGCTTCACTTGCTTCGGCGAGAGCTGCAAATATTATTTATTATTGAAAAATAATTAAAAATATTTAAATGTGCGCCAAGCTACCTCCTTCATTTTCTGTACTAGATGTGGTCCGGGCTGCCAAAAGCCATGACCACAGCTAAATTGTGGCATATAGAAACCCGATCGTTGACTCATATCCAGCAGCGCATTGTAGAATAGAACGACAGCATCATAGACAAGTTGGCTGCCCAGTGAATCAAACTACATACACAGAGAGAAATATTAATTTAGCACACAATTAAATTTAGTTACAGCAGGCAGACCCACCCTAGTGTCCACTTCATTGTCGAACACATCAATCTCATCATGCACTGGCGGTGGTATATAAGTTCTCAAACGCACAGCAGCCACTGTCACAGTAAACTCTCGCGAATAGAAACGATCGATGCCACTGACATGTGTATCCAAATTGGTTAGAAATAGATTCTGCCCAAAGGGAAATATTATCAAAAATCAATCATTTGTTGCTTGATATTATTGTCCACTCACATTGAAAGAGCCAGTCATATTAAAGTCTATGGAGGCATTGACCACATCCACCAGAATGTCCGCGGGACAATCCAATAGCACAAATTTCTCCCTTGCATTGTTGATTCTTTTCCAGAGTATGCGATAGTCGTCACCACGTTGAAATTCCTGCATTTTAATGCCCGTTTTGTGTAGCTGTTTCCAGGCCAGGATATGCTGCAGGCGATTCAGGTCTAGGGGGTGGAAGGATTGAGGTATTGATTTGGGAAAAGCTAACAGACTAAAGAGGCTTCGATGCCATGGCTATCAAGGTAATTATAATGCATATTCAATGTTAAATTAAAGCTAGAAATATTAGTATTATGTTAGGATAATCAGAAGAGACGTTTAAAGAAGGTTTGGCATAGTTTTAATATCGAAAAGAAGAACATAATAATACAGTTAACAATTAGAACAGAAATTTAACATCCACAGAGTTAAAAATATATTTTAAAAATAAAAAATTAAATACTTACGTGCACTCTTCTCGTAGGCAATCGTAAAGGACTTCCAGTCGAAGCTCTTGCTGCCCAAAATATCGGAAAATGCATTCGATAGCATCAGTTCCATGGGCGCCACATTGACAGACATCTGATGGTTGAGTCGCTCCCTAAACGATTGCTGGGGATGCCAATCGAACTGTAGATGCGGTATACCCGTCATATTACACAAAACCTCAACAATATCTGCCAAAAAAAAGAGAGCAGAGAGGGTGGGATAGGGGGAGAGACAGTGTAAGTGTTTTGTTATGTTTAGAATAATCCGAGGAACTAACAAAACACCCAATGAAAGTGCTGAGCAAAACACAAAACATAAAACGCGTGAGAGAGAGAGAGAGGAGGGCGAGGGCGAGGGAAATTCTTGGCGTATTCTTGGCAACGCTTCAAAATCCTATCGTTTATTTACTGCAAAAATATTTTGGATGCTGCTTGGCCCGATTTTAATGGCCAGCACATGTGCGTGTGTGTGTGTGCGTGTGAGTGTGTTTGGATATTCTGAAGAATCATTAACGAGGTTGGTGACGAGCCTTTCGAATCTCTCTCGCTGAGCGGTGGGCACGACAAATTTGCTCGCTCTCTCTCTCGTGCGCTCTCTCTATGGCGCTCTAATCTATTTGACTTTATAGCACATACATATACATATGTGTGTATATATGGCCAGACATAATTTTATGACGCTAGAGAGCATCTGATTTTGTTGTTTAAAATTAAATTTAACTATGGCCAGACAAAAGGAAAGGAACACGAAAACAAACTTACCGCTGTTTGTCTTTGAACTTGGTCCAAAAATAGCAGCCACACCATTTCCAATCAATTCGCAAGCTAAAGAAATATATAATTAATATATACACCCTTCAAGAAGGATCTGCTAAACACTTACATAGATCCTGCAGGACAATGCTATCGTCAACGGTCATGTAATGTTTGATGGGCTCCAAACGCAGATTGGGATTCACGGCATTCACTTCCTCCACGGCCACATCGAAGGCCTCTGCAAGCTTCATTTCCGTATCAAAGAAAATGGCACCTAAATATGCCATATTTATCGGTTTACTATATAGTTTATATTTATGGTGTGTGTGTGAGTGTGTACTAACCAATTTTAAACACCAAAGCCTCATCATTGGCATTGCTGCAACAAAACAGAGCCACAAGCACTAGGAACTTAATGGCAGACATCATGCGATGTCCAGCAGTCAGCTAAAGTTAAGCATTATAACGATATCTGATATATATATAGAGAATATATGCCAGTGTTCCAATTCACTTCACTTCGGCTCGAATCGCGTAAAAAATAAGTATACGTATCGACTAAAAAATAAAAACGAATCGAAACTTTTCCGGATCCGTGCCGGGGCACTGCTCGCAAGGCACTGAGTGAGCAGCACAAAAAATGAATTTTTTTTGGAGCTCTCAACGATCTCGTTTTCCCTCTCTCTCTCTCTCAGCAACAATCGTGGGTGGAAGGAGCATTTGTGTTTTTTTTCGATAAAAAAAAGAGAGAGAGAAAGAGAGAAATGCGTTTGTGACAGACCAGGCAGACCCTGGGCATCAGCTGTAGCTGGAAATGAACCAATAAATGAAAACTAAATGTTCTCTAAAATTGGGCTAACCGGACGCCCCCATAGCCGGCTAAGTAGCGTGCCACAAAAAAAGCAGAAAAAAATGTAAGCATAAATGAGTTAAGAGTCGAATATGGCGTACCCTGGGTTGATGAAAACAAGACGGAAATATTTAATTCGAATTTAAGTAGAACTTAGCTAAAAATAAATTTAAATAACTCTGAAAATCCGCCTTTGGATGCTCCTGCAAGTCTGCGCTCTAGTCTTATACACCCCACAAAGCACCCTCTAATTAAGTAGTCTACAAAAAGCTGAAAACAAGTAAGAAAAAATGAGTTAAGTAATCGAATATTTTATACCCTAAGTTGAAGAATGCAAGACGGAAACTTTTAATTAGAATTAAAATAGAAATAAATTTAGATAACTCCCAAAATTCCCCTTTGCTTCCTTTGCCTCTATTCTCATATACCCCACAAAGCACCCTCTAAGTAAGTAGTCCTCAAAAAGCTGAAAACAAGTAAGAATAAATTAGTTGATGAATGCAAGACTGAAATTTTTATTTAGAATTTAAATAGAATTTAAATAAATAGTTCCCAAAATTCACCTTTGCTTCCTTTGGCTCTAGTCTCATATACCCCACAAAGCACCCTCTAAGTAAGTAGTCCACAAAAAGTCTCTATAAATATAGCACAAAATATATATACATATGGATGGATACATATATACTCGTATCAAAGCGAACAAAAATCATGGATTGCCCAATTTCCTTTTGCACTTCGACGACTTTTCTGTTTATTGAAATGTTAAAAAAGTAGTTTTTTAATTCAACTTTAAATGTTATTAAACAGAGTTTTTGTTTTTTTATTCCTAACTGGCCGTCTTGCTGCGACTCTTCTGCTTGGAGCCAGAGGATCTGCGTGAGGAGGATTTATCGCTGCTACCGGATATTCTCAGCGGTTTCTTGGGCACCCAAAATTTGAGTGCAAAGCAAAGTTCCGCCTTCAGTGCCTGCCAGGGTGTGACACGCTCCTCCACAGCCACATGCTGCACATTCCACAGGAACTCAAAGATGCCCAGTATGACGCCAGTGAGTACGCCGCCAGCGAGTACAAGAAACACGCCGCCCAACTCGACAATTGACAGCTCATCGCCGTCCACCTCGTGAAAGGTTTCGCAGGTGACATTGTGGTTTTTCCACCATTTGTTTTTCATTTTATAGAGCTCACCCTTTTCGCTCAATTGCAGTATGGAAACGCTCAAGTTAGTGCGATAATCCGCACCTAAATTAAAGTTACAAATAAACTGAATTTCTCATCGTTTAATGCTCGATAAATGCACTCACCCAACGGCACTGCCAGGCCATAATGTTTCTCGCCAATCTGATCACCGATTTGCAATAAATCGCAATTCCTTTCGATGTTGTAGGTGAGGCTGGTGGTCTCCATTAGAAAGGCATAGGAGCCCTTTTCCTTGCGCACACGTGCCACGCCCTCCTTGTTGGTGGTGGTAAATGCGGATGGATTAAAGTCCTTCATTTGATTCCAGGCACGCTGATAGTCGGTCTCATTCGATTCGGAGAAGAACAACGAAGTGCTGCCACCACGCATGCTGCCATAGGACACCTCATCCTGTTCAATGAGACCCGCCAAATCTTTGATGGTGCTCTGCCATTTGTTGCTGGTCAAAAATGCAGCCAAATTGGCGGTGTAAGTACTGAGCATCATCAGGGCAAAGAACCACCACATGCCCGTGAGTATGCGCATGTGGGCGCCTCTGAAAATAATATCAACAAATAATTAACAATCCATACTTATTTTATATATTTAATATTAAGTCCAACCTGGGTAGTATATCGCAGCCCTGCTGCATAATGGAACCCACCATAAGCCAAGTGGAGTTGTTCACATTCCATATGTTTTCCAGCTCATCGGGATCCTGTATGGCTGGATTTGGTGGCAGCCATTCGCGATAGGAAAGTCTGCAAAAATAGCGTGAAATTACAAGGCATATACAGCCCATCTATAGCTACTCGCACCTGGCTATGAAAACAAATGCCAAAGTCATCACGAGCTGTGCAAAGATCATATAGATCCAGACCTCCACGGCAAAGGGCTCCAGAAAGGCGAATTGATTCTTTGGCTCTGGCGGACTCTTGTAGTGCAGAATGCTAATGCCCAGCTGCATAAATGGCACCGTAAAGTCCACCACAGAGCGTCGCAGCTGGGTGATGGTCAGATCACAGACGCCTATTTGTGCATGCTGTGGATCAAAATAAGTAACACAAAATTTTCCAACGGTTTTTCCGTATTTGGTACCCACATGATCGATTAGTTTTCGTATAATGCCATCCCATTGCTTGGTCTCTGGATTGTATTTGCCATTGCCATTGACGATCATGAACTCGTAGTCGAATTCCAGCAGCTCTGACAATTTACTGATGAGATCCACAGCATAGCCCTCGTATTTTTCGCGTCCCCTGAAGTTCTCATGGTCTTCCCTGCAATGGGGAAAAGTGGGGGAAAACTTTAGGCAACATTCACAGCGTGCTTGGGGGGGACTGGTTACTTCATCATAAAGTATGGCTCCTCGTAGTGTGTGACAACCGTGTAGACCTTTCGTTGCACTGAGAAGTCCTGCGTGGAGCCAGAGTCACCCAGATCGAGGCTGATGTGACGCCGCTTTATGCCATTGTCCGGTGTCCACACCATCAGCGGCTCATTCACTGTGGGCTTATATATTTCCAGATTGAATTGTGTACGCTGTCCGTTTTCATTTAGCTTCATATTCTCCGTCTTGAAATGTGGCTCCACATCATCCTCCGATATGGTTTTCATTTCATTGACTATAAAGGGGCCCAGCATCCAAGGACTTGGGCTGCCACAGTGCCTATTTGGTGGATGATAGGGCTGCATGGCAGCTATAATATTCCTGGCCGAATTGGCAAATAGCACCACAGCATCGTAGATGAGTATGGGCAGCATGGTTTGGTTTCCAAGTATTTGCTGCGGGGTGATAATAAATTAGAGAAAGGATTTTCGAGTGTCTTGAGCTACCAAAACTTACATCCACTTTGCTTATGCGCGTTTTTTTCCGCTCAAATGGATTGGGATCGACGATTTTCAAGCGCACTGATGTGATATTTGCTTTGAAATCTTCATTATAAATATCCTTTAAGCCCGAACTATGCGTGTCCAGATGTGTGAGAAACCAGTTCTGGCAAGAATTTAATTTTGAATTGATTTTTAAAAAATATTTCCGTGTTTTGCTTACCCTAAAAGGTCCCTGCAGCTTAAAGTCCACGGAGATTTTTAGCAGCTCCTTCAGTGTGGCCGGCTCACAATCCAATATGATGCGATGCTCATGAAATGTTTCATCTGCCTCCTTCCATAGCACACGATAATCGCCGGCATAGTCTGCCAGATTTCTGAGCTTTACATAGTCGCTGTTCAGCGCATGAATGTTCATCAGATCCTGGAGGCGTGCGAGGCCTAAAGGGCATTAAATATTGTTAAATTAAAGTGCAAGTAAATGTGGCTAAAACTCACCCTCTGGCGTTTCGTAGATGAGCGTAAATATGCGCCATTCATAGTTCGTTTTGATGATCTCAAAGTAGGCGCGCGACAGCACCGACAAGGTGGGTGCCACATTCACAGACATTTGATGATTTAAATGCTCCTGACGCGTAGCCTCCAGCTTCAAATCATATTCTATATGTGGAATGCCGGTCGTGTTTGCAATTTGCGCAACAATATCTACAATAACAACAATAACAAATAGAGTATGTAAAACAAAACATATGTGTGCCTGTAGCCTTAGAGAGTGGATGGAACGTAAAACGTACCACTGGCTGCCTTTGAACTTGGTCCGAAAATAGCCGCAACGCCATTGGAAATCAGTTCACAAGCTAAAACACACACGGAAGATGAATTTCATATAATTTTTGTTCTGCTCTGCTGCCGATGGCCACTCAACAACAACAACAACAACAACAAAATACTCACTTATTTGTTGTAGCAAAAAACTATCATTCGTTGGCATATACCGCTTGATGGTGACAAAACGCAGTTCGGCAAATTTCAAATTGTTTACCTCACGAAATGCCTGATCGAAACTGAGTTCAATTTCCTTTTCATTTTCATAGAAAATGGCACCTAAACATCGCATCGATCAACAGAAATTATTTGTACAGAAACTATTATAAATAAATCATTCGATTGAAGCACATACCCACTGTGATTTCATTGCGACCATCGCCAGCCAGTGCTAAAATTGTTTTGAATAATACAAAGGCATAAATGTGGACTGGACAGAAATGCATTTTACAATTTTTTTGGTTTCCAAAAACACTCGACAACTAATTGAATTTTCTAAATGCAGCGGCCATTTCGTTTCATTTCAACTACATATAGACACACACACGCACACACACACACGCACAAAATTACGTAAAGTAGAATTTTTTAAATATATATATTTTTGTGTATTTATTTAAACGCGACGGCAGCATCCAGTCTTGGAGCGCTTTGCACGCCTACTGACACGACAGTGCCCCATCCGTAGATGTTGCCTGATGAATGTCTGGCCAAGACTCTCTCTCCAGATCTCTATCTCTCTCTCTCGCGGACTTTTTGTTGTATGCGCTCTCCCCTGAGATTCTTTATGACGCTGCTTGACGCTGCTTGACGCTGGTGACGTAGGCGGCAGCAGTTAGTCTGGTGTGGGTCTGGTTGTGCTCTGCTCTGCTCTGCTCTGATCTATTGCTGCCTGCTCGATTATTTTGCTTTGTCAGAGGCGATGAGGCTCTACTTTTGTGTGTGCCAAATATTATGATGTTCTTGATATTGTTTCGGATTGATTTATGGCAGCTTTTTGATCTGCCAAGAGGGTTTATTGTGATCAGCAAAGTGCGCTGTCCGAATGCCAAATTGCAATGCAAATATTTACTTTAATTCTTGCGCCTTATGCGATGATCATAGATAATAATTGAACCATTTTTGGGCGATTCCACATAGCAGCACTGCGGATTATCCTCTGTCATGCGCTTGTCGATATGTATGACACAGCCATCGCCCTTGTGCTGGAAACACAAACCCTTCATGGCATCTGGTAATATTTTGTAGTTATCCGAATTATTGTAGAACACTTTGCCCGTCTTCCAGGCGATGAAACTCAGGTCTTCCTCGTTGGGTTCGAGGCGCTGATTGCCGGCAAAAATATTCACCCAATCGTGTGCCGAATGATGGCCCAACTTGAGCTGACGCAAACTCTGCTCATAGTCAATATAGCCGGAGATGCCGAAGCCCTTGGAGTTGCGCGTGCTGATAAATATAATGCTCTAAGTGGATTATAGTCCCGAAAATACATATATTATAATCATTCCAAGAAGGAAAAAAACTGAGGGGAACACTCACCGAAATCTCTTTAACGGCATTGAGTTTCTCGCGCTCGGCCAGTGCAATGACCAGCGGATCGTTGGCGATTGTGTGCTTCTTGAAAAAGTAATGTGTGCCCAGAGGACCCTTCGCCTGTTCCTTCTTAAACTTGGACTCGCTCAACACAATCGCCCCTGGGCGCACTTTAAGCGGCACCAGCAGCTGCATGGCCCGTTCACTTGTCAAATACTTTCTATCCTCCAGCCTGACAAACGTATTCAGATAATCCTCATAGTCGTATTTGGCTATTATTTGCGCCAGAATGCGTTCTCTTTTGGCCAGGGCTTCGCTGGGCTTTTCCTTGCCCGTGTTCAGACTTATGTGAGAGTAGTCGCTGATGTCATACTTGCTAATCCTTGCTGACTTTAGACTTGTATTATCGTTTTTATTCTGAATTAAACGTGTGATACTCGGGTATGTCTTTCGAAGGCCATGGATCCAGCTGACCATGGGTGGTCCGATTGTGTCCGTTGAGATGTTATCATCAGAGACGCTATGGATAATGTGACGATGCCATGCGGCCTGATCGGCAAAAGAAGTGGCCAGACTGGGCATGGGCGCTCCAAGTGAGCGACCACCGATGGACATGGTGAAACTCGGCTGGGCTCCCAGGTTTTTCCATCCATCTTCATAGGAGAGCGTACTGTCGCTAGACATGGTAAGGCTACGGATTTAGCTGATTGCAATAAATATATTTTGTATAAAATACTCTAGTGTTTATGTGTTTAAAACAATTGAGTGAAATAACTCGTATTTCCATGCCGTCTAGATCTCAGATGTAATGGGAAACAAAAGCACTCAGGTAGCGCGCACATTGTAGCCGAAAGTTTAGCCACAGTAGCCAAAGTATGCAAGTGCAAATGAGATAGAATGACAATCAGCTCAAGCCTACAGCAAAGCTTAGAAGAGAGCGAGAGTGCACGACTAAAAGAGAGCGCATGAGCGCAGCCCTGGGCTGGATGCTAAGCCGAGCACAAACAATAAATGTATGTTTGTATGTAAGTATGTATGCAGCGCTCTAGAGCTTTAAAGCTGCAAGGCAACTGCAGGTAGAAAGCAAAGGCGGGGGATAAGAAATCGAGCAAAACAGGTCGCTGCCGTGCGCAAGCATGCGCGATGAAAATTTTTACGCATGTACAGTAGGCAGCGCAAATGGTGCACAATAATTATGATTTACGCTAATCTGCACCACTTTGATTTAGCTTTGATATTGATTTCACTACATTACACTACACAACATTAGGCACATAGTTTCGGATTTTTCCATCAAAAATTCGATACACAATAAATCACACCTAACACTACAACAAACAATAATACAACAATACTTACAAAAACACTAAAATTAATTAATATTAAGATTAATTACACCAAAAACCCACACTCCATACACCCAAAAACAGTTACTTTATACACCTGCAAAAATGGGCTCCCATCAAGTGGACTTTAGTGTCTTGGATTTCGAAACATACAATGATTACATCAACTCCTTTGCCACTGCGGACGATGAGCGATTTTTGAGCAATCGCAAGGTGATCAAGTCCATTGTGCAGCTGGGCTACCGCACCACCAAAGTGCCCTACGATCAGGATGAGTTCGAAAGGCGTGTATTTATTGCCGAGCAGGCCATCAGGCCAAAGACAACGAAGGTGGGGCTGCTGGGTGATTTTATGTCACCCACAAATACGGATCCAGTGCTGCTGGAGTTTAAAAAACGCGAGATACCCAATTCGAATAAGTTCTTATCGGTAAGTGCGGTCTGCTGAAACTTATAATCAATTCTATTACATGGCTCTTGCCCCACAGACCATTGTGTTTACTTCGTATCAAGCGAAAGATGGTTCCGAGATCTCGGGCTACATAGATCTGGACAGCAGTTGGCGCATTGGCGGCAGCGATACCAAGAAAATCGACTGGAAATGCGTCTTTGAGGGGCGTTGCCGTGTAAAGCCCATGGCCCATCATTTGAGCTACTCGAATCCACGTTACAACATGCTCAAGTATACGGACAGTGATAACTACTTGGTGATGCACAATCATCACTATGGTCTGCTGTTTATGCACAAGGGCGATCACAAGATTGTCACAGTGGGCGGCCAATACAATTTGTATTCGAGAAATGCCAAACGAACGATGGTCTACTCGCCCAAGCTGGGCTATGTGGTGTTCTACGATCATATTGTGCGCAAGAAGGTGTAGAAGCAGAAGATTGTCAAAGTCAGATAGCAGCTACAAAGTAAATTCAATGAACTGTGGACTCACACCGGAAGAGCTAACAGCCCAGCAGGGATGATGTTCTGTTCTGTTCAAATTTAAGTCTAAATGTAGTACGAGCATTAAAACATGACAACATTTTATTGGACACGATCCAAGTGGTTCGCATTTGCTCTCTCTCCCTCTCTCTCTCTCTCTTGCTCTCTCTGTCTTTGTTTTGTAGATCCCTATATTTCGTAATTGTTTAGAATATGTTGAGCAAAACAAAGCCCAGAGAGCTGTGCTCTCTCTCTCTCTCTCTCTCGCCTACGCTCACTTGCTTTTAATTTTAGCATAGCTCTACTTTCGATTCCGTTTCGCATGCTGCACTCATTGCATTGCAGACCTCCGACCATCACAGTTGCCCATACATATTGTGTTGAAATATTTTTCGTGCTGCAAGTTTTACATCATCAGGCATCCAAATCAGGAAAATCCAATTGGAATACATACTTCAACTACTACAAATGGAAAAGCCAATAAAATGTGGCCAGTATACAACATTTATTTAGTGCTGTGTCTGTTGTTGTCCTTAGCCCAAGCTAGACAGCAGTTTATGGTGGGTAAGTTGCACACGAAATTGGGTCACTGTCTCTCAAGGGCTCTCCGTGCTACATTTTACGCGTACATTTTGCTAGGCAGCATTTTTACATCGGACAAAGATGAGGCAGAAATTGCATTTCGCACCGCAGTGGATCGTGCAAATATATTGGAAAGGAATATAGAACTTGTGCCCATTGTCGTGTATGCCAATACAGACGATAGTTTTATTATGGAAAAGATGGGTAAGCCACCTACTAATAATGGCAGAACTGGAGATAATCATTTGTAATCATTCCTTTTGCAGTTTGCAATTTAATTTCCCAGGGTGTTATAGCTATATTTGGACCCAGTACAGGCAGCAGTTCGGGTAAATATATCGCAGCCACAACCAAAGCTTCAATAAACTATCCGAGTCCGTTACTCTCTTGCAGATATTATTGCTTCGGTGTGCAATACCTTGGACATACCACACATTGTCTATGATTGGCTGCCCAATGAGTCCATTCCGGATCGCCAGCACTCCACCATGACGCTGAATGTGCATCCCGATAATCTGTTGCTATCCCAGGGATTTGCTGAAATTGTACAAAGCTTTGGCTGGCGTAGCTTTACGATTATCTATGAATCGGATAGAGGTAGCTAGAATTGCTGTAAGTCTTATTTTTAACCCACTTGCTGGTCACCCTTTTTAGAGCTGCAACAGCTGCAGGATATTTTGCAAATTGGTGAACCCAGCAACATGCCTACCACAATGAAACAGCTGGGTCCCGATGAGGACTATAGGCCCTTTTTGAAGGAAATCAAATTATCCACAGATAATTGTCTGATTGTGCACTGTTCGCCGCCGAATCTATTGAGCCTCTTGCAGCAGGCCAACGAACTGAAAATGTTGGGCGAATATCAGGTGCAGTTTTATATTTATTTATTATAATTTTTTTCATTTTATTTTCTTTTTAATTATTTGAAACTATTTTTGCAGAGTGTTTTTATACCCCTGCTGGACACACACACGGTGGAGTTTGGTGATCTCTCCGGCGTGGATGCCAACATAACCACAGTACGTCTGATGGATCCCACAGATTTTCACATCAAGAATGTGATACACGACTGGGAGGAGCATGAGAAGAGGGCTGGACGCTACTATAAGATCGAACCAGGGCGTGTGAAAACAACGATGATACTGCTCAACGATGCCGTCTGGCTGTTCTCCAAGGGTCTGACGGAACTGGGAATACTGGACGAACTAACAGCCCCAGAGGTGGAATGCAAACGAAAAAAATCATGGCCCCATGGCAGACGTATTATAGAGTTTATGAAAGCGGTAAGAGCGGTAATCAAGCCCCTAGAAAATATTCCCTAGATTCTATAGATGCATCTATTTATCGTGTAGCGCTCCGATGAGGCCTCCACGGGTCGCATCGACTTCAATGAGTATGGCCAGCGCAGCTTCTTCACCTTACGCTTCATGGAGGTGAATGCTGGCGGTTACCTGGATCTGGCCACCTGGGATCCCGTCAATGGTCTGGATATCCTCAACGACGATGAGGAGAGCGAAAAGCGTGTGGGTCAAAAGTTGTCGAACAAAACTTTTATAGTATCATCCCGTTTGGGTGCGCCTTTTCTCACACTCAAAGAGCCCGAGGAGGGGGAGGTGCTGTATGGCAATGCCCGCTACGAGGGCTACTCCATAGACCTGATAGACGCCATCGCTCAGATGCTGAATTTCAAATACGAATTTCGCATGTCACCCGACGGCAGATATGGCTCGCTCAATCCAGCCACCCAGACGTGGGATGGCATTGTCAAGCAATTAATTGATGGGGTAAGTGGGGCATTCAAATATCCCAAAATATCCAATAGCTCATGGATCTGCCTGCTAGAACGCTGATCTGGGCATTTGTGATCTAACCATGACCTCAGCGAGACGTCAGGCTGTGGACTTTACGCCACCCTTCATGACCCTGGGCATCAGCATATTGTTCTCAAAGCCGCCCATACCGGACACAGATCTATTCTCATTTCTGTCGCCCTTCTCCCTGGATGTGTGGATCTATATGGGTTCGGCGTATCTGTTTATATCGCTGCTGCTCTTTGCTCTCGCTCGCATGGCGCCCGATGACTGGGAGAATCCGCATCCGTGCAAGGAACCCGAAGAGGTGGAGAATATTTGGAGCATAATGAACACCACATGGCTGTCGATTGGCTCACTGATGGGACAGGGCTGTGATATACTGCCCAAGTGAGTAAAGGCTTATTTACAATAATTTTAATTAATATAATTTTCATTTGTTTAGGGCCGCCTCCACCCGTTTGGTGACTGGCATGTGGTGGTTCTTTGCTCTCATGATGTTAAATTCGTATACGGCCAATTTGGCCGCCTTTCTGACCAACTCACGGCAGGGCAACTCCATCAGCAGTGCCGAGGATCTGGCTGGCCAGACCAAAATCAAATATGGCGCCATGATGGGCGGCTCCACGATGGGTTTCTTTCGCGACTCAAACTTTTCGACATACCAAAAGATGTGGACGTTCATGGAGAGTGCCAGTCCGTCGGTGTTCACCAAAACCAATGACGAAGGCGTGGAGCGGGTGCAAAAGGGCAAGAATCTCTATGCCTTCATGATGGAGTCCACCACCCTGGAGTACAATGTGGAGCGCAAGTGCGATCTGGTGCAAATCGGTGGCTGGCTGGACTACAAAAGCTATGGCATTGCAATGCCTTTCAGTAAGTCCCCAGCAAACAGCAGCAGGAAATTCACTTAATATTATATGGATATTTCCTTCCTTCTTAGATTCGCCGTATCGCAAGCAGATCAGCGGCGCCGTCCTGAAGCTGGGTGAGCTGGGCAACCTGGCGGAGCTGAAGCGCAAGTGGTGGAAGGAGATGCATGGCGGTGGTAACTGTGAGAAGAGCGAGGATGCTGGCGGGGATACGCCCGAATTGGGTCTGGAGAATGTGGGCGGTGTATTTCTGGTCCTGGGACTGGGTCTGCTCTCTGCCATGGTTCTTGGCTGCACGGAATTCTTTTGGAATGTCAAATCGGTGGCCATTGAAGAGAAGGTGCGGCATATTTTCTATATACTCACAAATCCCCTTTGAGCACCAATTCTTGCCCACCCACAGATCTCGCTGAAGGAAGCCTTGCGTTCGGAGGTTACGTTTGCCATGAAAATTTGGATTACCACAAAGCCAGTGCACGCCAGTTCTGGTTCCGGCAGCTCTTCGTCCTCCTCCAGTTCGAGCTCTTCCTCGAAGTCTGGCAAGTCGCGTTCGAGTCGCTCCAAACCCTCCTCGAAATCGCAGCCCATATCCATGAAGAGTCTCAAGAGCCTGGTCGAGCCCGATGTGGAGGCTTCGGTGCACAACAAATTGAAGAAAATCGGTTCCATGTTTTCATTAAAGTCCCAAAAGACATCTACGCCGCCACCGCCAGAAATTGGCTGGAAAGTGGACAAGTCAACGCAAATGGATGAAGAACTGGCAGCCGAAGAAGAGGCCGAGATTATGCCAATGCCAGAGCCACCGCAGCCACACCATAGACATCATCATCATCACCACCACCATCACCATCATCGCCATCATCAGCAGGAGGAGGAGCAGGAGGAGCAGCAGGAGCAGGATCTGGAGGCAACTAAGAATCAACGTGCCAGCAAATTGAGTAATGGCGTTCCTTAAATGGCAGAAAATTCCTATAATTAATACTTAAAACAACCATTTGCAATCACGTTTCGTATCAGATCCTTTTTTCATCCCATAAATAAAGTTTAATCCATTTGTTAAATGATATCCAGTAATACTTATCTCTGGGAATGAAATTCCCACAACATTTTAACAAGTATTCTTACAATAATTACCTACAAATTTAAAATTTTATATTTATTCTTACTATAATCATCCTTTAGTCCAAGGAATAAGCATTTAACTATTACCATTGTTAATAATAAATATTAAAACGGCCCCCTACGAAATACTTCATTCGAAAAGGCTCTATGAAAATTCATTTATGAAATAATAATAAAGTTTCAAAGAGTCACCTACGAAACCTCTTGGAACCTATAAAAATTCATCTATAGCGCAAAGACCTGGAGTTGAATCATAGTCATCTTTCCATTGTAGAACTGCCTGTTTCTATTGCTATAATCTATTTTTCCCATTTCTTAAATGTTCTACCATACACAAAACATCAAATGAATTTTAAACCATTTAGAACTATTTTTTAAGGAAATCCCATTACCTTATCCTTTGCCTTACTTCCCCCATTTAGCTAATTAATAAATGTCATAATTTTTCTAGGGGTTTTTGTAATTTTTATTTGCTTTTTTTCAAATTTTTTGGATTTTTTTTCTATTTGTTTTTCATCTTTTCTTCTCATTTTTTGTATTTTATAATAATTGCTTCGTTTAATTGAATTAAATTAAATTAAATAAAATTATTTTGGACATAATAAATTGCTTTAATCTTTCTTTAAATTGCTTTTTTTCATTGATTGCAATTCTAATAAGATATATAAGTTATGTCGTGTCATGTCATGCCGAAAGTTAATAATTTATAACTAATTTTTTTGAAATTTATGCATATTTTAAATACTTAAGAATTTTCATTGACATTACGCTGCTCCGAGCTTTTTTTTTTTTTTGTTTGTATATTTATAATATAATATAATTTACGTTTGTTTGTTAAACATTTAAATGTTAGATTAATTATTTGCAAAGCTAATTGAATACGTTTAGTGTTTCATTCAGTTTTGTTTAAGGTACATTATTTGTTGCTTTTCCTCCTGTATTTTTTATTTTTTGTTTTTTTTTTTTGGATTTTCTGTTGAGCTTCTAACGCACAATTTGCTAAGTCTTTAAACTATTAACTATTATAATATATATCACTAAATATATTTATATATCATACAAAATTACAGAGTTTGTATAACTGCATTAGAGAGAGAGAATCTATGAGAATACTTGGACAAATGGAGTTACATATAAACGGAATGAGAAAGCCAAGTTATAAATTTGTTAAACATTTTAGGGAAAGTTTCTACAGTTAAAGATATACGCGTATATATACAAAATCGATTGGAAATTAATGTGTGGATTAATTCTTATAGTTTAAATATAAATTAAAATACTTTTTTTTTGTTAATATTTTCTCGTTTGGAGTATTTCCTTTTTGTTGGTTTTTTGCTTGTTAGCAGAACTAAAAGTAAATTTTTTTGGACAACTTTTCTAGGGGGTTTTATATTGTTTTTTTTGGGTTTCGATTTTTCTATGGTTTCTCTACAAAGACCATGTTGAGGGAACTGCGGCGTTTTGGTCAATCTTTGGCCGCAATGGCGACGGGCGGAAATTGCCGCTCATCGTAGAGCTTCGTTGGAGTGTCGATGGCATCGCAGAGTTTACGAAATTTGGCGGAATCTGTGCAGATATAGAATCGTTTAGTTTTGATCGATTTTCTGTTCAATTTGTTGCCCTCACCTGACATGGCATCCGCCTGATCTCCCCTGAGAATGCTCGCGTAGCTGTTATCCGGCATCGGATCGGGATTCTCAATGAGCACACTGGCCGCACAGCTCTTCAGCAGCGTCAGCGATTGCGGCGTGGTCACCGGCTTGGCCTGCATCCGCAGCACACTCTCGCTCAGCTGCAGCTCGATGACATCCTCGAGGGCTCCCCTCAGATCGTGGACCGCTAGCAGCTTGCAGCTACCTCCGCGCTCTGCATTGAACTCGTGCACATAGAGGAAACCATCCTCGCAGGCTATCAGCAGTCGCAGCTCCTTCTGCACGCGCGTCAGCGCGCAGATGTGCCTGAGTCCCGCCTGGGCGAGCATCACGGTCGCAAAGGATCGATCTTGGGCGAGTACATCGCTGACCTGCGTTGAATGCAGCAGCGATGACACCGCCTTGGAGAACATGCCACCCCAACTGGCAACGGGCGTGGCACTGGCCTCTTCTGTGGCTGGTGGTGGTGCCGCCGCCGCCGCCGCTGCAGCATCCTTGCAGGCACTGTCCGATTTGGCAGCCACTTCCGCTGAAAAGTGGATAGTTTAGTCTTGACTCAATCATGGGGGGGGGAATCACATTGGTGCCACTCACCAATTGCCTTCAGTTCCACAGACTCCACGGCTCGTGCATCAATCTTGAAGATGTGCACCGTCTCCGTGTTGGAGGAGGCGCACAGAAAATCGCCGCTTGCCGCAAAGACCAGGGAAGCAATGCGCACACAGCTCACTCCGCGCCGAAACTCCTGCACCCGCTGGCCATTCTTCACACAGAACACCCGTATCACAGTGCCCCGCTCCGAGGCGGTGGCCAGCAGCGCCCCGCTGGGCGAGAACGTCAACGCTGAGAGGGGCGTGTCATGGGCCTTGATGGTCATCCCCGTTCTCAGCTTATTCGCATTGAAGATGCGCAGCTCGCCGCTCGTTTGGCAGACGGGAAAGGCCAAATGTGAGTTGAGGGACAGGGCGCAGAGGCCCAGCTCATTGGGCGCTATGTTCTCGATGGAATGCAGGATCTTCATGTCGCGTATGTCATGGATGTGTATGCTCTCCGCCAAGCAGACAATCAATCGCTGGCGATTCATGCGCACGCACAGAATCTCCGACGGATAGAAGCAGTTGCAAATGTCCTGCTTCTTCTTGAAGTGCAGCATCTTGAGGCAATTGGGTTTCTGCGAGGTGACCAGCACCACCAGCGAGCTGTTGAACAGACGCTCCACAATCCGTATTTGCTCTGTATTGTCCTTGGCAAAGATCTCCTCCACCTTATCCTGTCCGGCTATCGAGTAGAGTCGCAAGCCCGTGGCACTCAACACGGACAGGGAGCTGCAACAAAATTCAACCATTAACTTTACAATATTTCTTTCCTTAATCTTAGCTTAGATTTAGCTTTGTTTATTTATTGAATTATTAGCCCTCTCGGGCTTGCAAAAATTGCCGTAGTGGACGGTATTTCACGTCCCCATGGCGGGGTATTGGTTAAAGTTTTCAACTAGCAATAACCGCACCTCAGTAGAACTTCATCGGTTACGGTATTGCCACTGCGCAAAGATAACTTGACATTCGAAATCAATGCTCTCTCCATGCCGGCGCCGCCAGTACTGGTTGGGAATTCTAAGGCCATGCAGGCCTCCAGCAAACAGTCACGCATTTTCTGGCCTGCCCAAAAAAGCACAGCATGCTTTTGGGCTACCGTTGTTGTTGCTACCTACTCTACTGCAGTTTTGTTGCTGCAACTGCATCCTTTGTGCGAGATTTGGAGTGAGGAGTTGCTAAGGGAGGTTTTTGTGTGCAGTCGGCGGGGGGCTGTTTGTCCAGACAAGCAGCTGCATTTGTAGCATTGATAAACTACAAAAATGATTGCAATTACAATTGATTTTGCTTGTGTTCAAATAAAACATAAAATAATGCATGGCAAATAATGATCATGCGATCAGCAAGGAATTTTGGCATAGTTTGCATATGCTAAAAGCACATAAAGTACAGCAATTCAACCAATTGTTGAACTATTTTCAAGAAAATATGACTTGAAAATGAGTAATACAACATAAAAGAGAGAAAAATTAAAAAAAAAAAAATATAACATAATAAACTATTGAACCAGAGTGGGTTTCGAACCCAGGGTATGCGGCAAGCCTGTTGAGTGCCCATTTCCTCGCCACAGCACAACTAAAAGTGCGAGTGAGACAGCACTACAACGCTGAGGCGCTAGGCATAATTTAGTACATTTTATGGGGAAAATACCAACTGACACAAATTTCTGCCTTTTGAATTTACTTTTGACCCAATTTCTTTATTTTATTACTTATTTAATTAGTTTTAGTTTTTCTTTAAATTTAAATACAAGAGATCAATCTTTTTGAACATGTTTGCACTTTGTACGTACTGGGTACCCAATTGCCTAACTACTTAGTGCTTAGCTTAGTGACCTATTAATCTAATCGAATCAAATTAAGTCGCTGGGCGACAACTGGGACTCGCCCTCGGCCAGGTAGATGTGCATCGCCTTGTAGAGCAGAGCAATGCCCAAATGTTTCCTCTGTTTCATGGTCCACGACTGAGCGGGTCCGTAGTAATCGCCACGCTTCAGATTTGTCAGGTGTCCCAGGCCCATGGCATCGATAATGGAGGCCTCTCTCGTGTACGCATCAATGGGCATTATGTTATGGAACACATGCAGGCACACGACGCCGCTTTCGCTCTGCCAAATCTCCAGTATCCGCTCGAGCTTCTTGCTGCCCAGAAGCTTGGCATCACGCGCCGGCGGCGACTTAAACACATCCGGCTGCAGTGTGCGAAATCCGCCCTTTCGTTCCGCCTTCTCTGTTCGCTCCCGACCATTGTCGCGCTTCTGATTGAGTCGCGTGTGCTGGCGCATGGCATCGTACAGATGGGCATACGGCCGCGACGATTTTCCCTTGCCCACATAGAAGATGGAGTCGAGGAATCGCTGCCAGATGCTGAACTTATCCAGAAAGGTGCTCTCGCCGGGTAGATTGCGCGAGATACGCGGATCAATCAGCATGTAGATGAAGCTCTGCTTCAGATGGCCCTCCCGCAGCGTTCTCTTCACAATAGGCGCCGTGGCAAAGTGCTCCGATGAGGCCGCCTCCTGTGGCATAAACTCGCTGATTCGCTCAAAGTCCTCTGGCGAACGGAGCGTCCTGTGCAGCTCCACCGAATAGCGGATTTGCGACTCCTGGGCATGCTTCTGGGCGGCCAGCAAGGCATCCGTGTTCCTTCTGTACTTGATCAACTGTTTGATGTACAATCTCTTTGTGGTCTTGGTTATGGGACCCACAGAGGCACCCAATTGGGTGAGCTCTCGTCGCAGTGCGTCCGTCTCGTAGTCCAGTGGCAGTGTGAGATTCGTGCTGACTGTGCTGTCCAGCTGTTGCTGGCGCTGCTGCTGCTCCGGCTGAGGGCCTCGCTCTGCAAATCTCTTGGCTTGCCTTTCATCATTTTGCAGGAACTTTGCCTCGTAGAAGACCAACCCGTTCTCATCATCCGTGTGGACGTAGGCCTCTTTAATCTGCAGAAAGTATTCGTCTGTGGGTCGTGGCGAGTGGCCGGGCAGCTCCTCTGCCTCCCGGGCTGTGACAAAGCTGTTGTCCGGCTCGGGCTCTATCACCTGTGCCTGTGACACCTGCTCCACCAGCTGCTGGAAGATCTGTCGATTGGGCGCTGCCGCATCGTCGATTTGCTGCTGCTGCATCTCCATTTCCATTGCGAGGCCATCCTCCTCGCGCAGCTTCTTTTGCATGTGCCGCTCGTAGTTGAAGTCCTCCTGGGCCAGTGCCTCCTCCACTATGGCCTCCACATGCTTGTCGTACTTGTGCATCAGCGACTGACGCGCCCGCGAGCGCTCCACCTTCTCGCGCCAGCTCTCGATGATGGAACGTCGCTTTGGCTGGTCTGGATCCTCTTGGCATTGGCTCTGCAGCAGCTGCGTTAGATGGGCCTCCGTGAGTGTGAAGAGATTCACCGACTGCTCGTCTGGCAGCGTGGTGGCGTCCATCGGGATATCTGGAAACTTGGGCTGCGGCTTGTGGCGCCTGTGGGTGATGTTAATGTAATAGGGCGATGTCACATCATAGTTGTACTTAAGGATCTGATTGGGCGTGGGGCTGGCCACGGCCTGATGTTGCGGCAGCCTCAGGTTCTTCTGCTTGTGCTTCTCGCGAAAGATGTGATCCCGCAGCAGCTGCAGCACCTCGAAGTGGCACTCTTCGATGGCATAGTGCACCGGCAGCTTGTTCTCATCATCGGGCAGATCGGCGCGTGCCCCACGCTGCAGCAGCATTCGCACCAGTTCCACTCGCCCATAGATGCTGGCTATATGCAGGGCCGTTGTCTGTCCATCGCACAAGGCGTTCACATCCAAGTCGGGGCTCTCCAGGAACTTTTCGAGTATGCGGCGGGCCAGCTGCTCGTTTCGCATGCCGCACACATAGTGCAGCGGTGCCAGGCCACGGTCGCAGGGCACAATTCCAGCATTTATCACATTCCTGTCGAGCATCGACAAGATGTCCGCCTCGTTCTCATCTTCCAGGGCGTCCAGTAGGGTGAGTGCCAGGAAATTCGCACGCTGCTCCATTGCAAACGGATAATTGATTTTTCCCCATTCACACTATCGCTCTCTCGCTCGCTCTAATTTCTCTCTCACTCTCCGCTTTAAATTGCACCCAATTATTGTTAAATTATCGCTTTTTTTCAATGTCAGCGCTTTGTTTTTGTTTCCTATGCACTTGGCAAGTGTTGGTAAACGCTGCATATGCCATTCGGCGTTAGTATATTTTAGTTGGTATTTTTTACACTGGTATTTACTGAGCGCCAAATTTGAAGCTACTGCTGACCCAGTTTTAGTTGTTTTGCGAGTTGTTGTTCTTGAAAACTACAGATTTGGCACATTATGTGCTATGTTTTGGTATTTAGAGCACGTTTAGGGCGATAAGCCTAAGCTATATCTCGCTCTGAGAGCGCAACACGTGCCCGCTCGGGTGATTTATTTTTTGTTTTTCGGGTTTTGTTTTGTGCTATCAAAACTAGTTTCCCGCCAAAGGCGTAGCCGTCATCGTAGTTGCTAAAATGGGGCCCAAGGTTGCGTCTGGCCTTGTTGGTGTCCCCCCCCCACTGGCCCCCTGCCATGATACTGGGCAGTGCGATAGCGTTAAGGTCTTTTCTTTGTTGTTTTCGCGATCTCTTTGGGTTGTTTACTAACAATCCCAATGATTAACCAAAAAACTGCGTACATACATACACATATGTATATATTTGTTTATATATTTAACAATGACGCATAGGCACACACAATCATAAATTTAAGTTAAAAGCTCAATGAGATGGCTATCAATTTCTGTAGCAGTCAGCAAGTCAAAGGTGGATTGCAGTTCATTCGCATTAAAAAATTAAAAAATAAAATAAAATAAAAACCCAAACAAAATGGAAATTGCAATCAAATAAACAGAGGAACAACAAAAATATTGACTTTTCCGACACTGCAGCTGGGGCGCACAAACAATAACAAGCACTTTTCCATCACGTGTTTTTGGAGCGTTCAATTAGAGTTATCAGTTCTCAAGATCTAGCAAGGGGTATGCCTCTAGCAGAGGGTATAACGAGTGCCGTGAGATGTTTGCACCGCAGAGAAGAAAGCAAAGTACAGATTTACTGTACTAATAAGTTGGCATAACTATCATAAGTTCATCAGCGCAAATCTTTGTAGGGTATCACTGCATTCGTTGCCCTTTGATTTGTTTTCTTGATTCCCCTTGAACTTGTGTGGAACCAAAGTCAAAGGAAGTGCCCGCTCGATTGCAATTTATAATTTCTATTTTTATTTGGTTTACTTTTTTCTTTGGCGTACATTCACCCGCCCTGGGGCACGGAGCTAATTGATTTGTTTCTGATTAGAAAGCGCTGAGCTTGCTGTCTCTTTCTTGTCTACGGCCTGCCTTTGTTCCCCGCTTTATGACGCGCACATCGCATCGCATCCACTGCTTGCCTTGTTGTTTTATTGCACTTACGGCTATGAGTGTGTGCTTTTTTTTTTTTTCATTTTCGCCATAAGTGGAAATATTGATTACTGTTGTTCTCTGCATTCTATGCTTTCTGCTCTGAGTGCGTCGAGAGTGGGGGGAGGAGATGGCAATTCAAAAGCAAAACCAGAGCAAAAGCAAAACCAGAGCAGATCAAAGTTGTCCAGAACTAACGGCACTAAAATACAGGTACGCCCATGCATGTGTATGTGTGCATGAATTATTCTAATGACATCAGCTGAGCAAAAATAATCACAATAAGTGCTAAAAAAAAAACAGGTTAATTAAGCTTGCCAGACGACACACAAAGATTTGTTTGTGAGGCTGTATGCATTATTTATAAGGCAGTGCGAGACATCAGCTGTTGCGCATTTATGGGGAGTAGGTGAATGTGTGCCATTGTTGTGTATTGGCTGTGTACCTGTGTGTGTGTGTTTGTGATTCATACACTAAGCAACATAATTGGAGTCAAAAGCATTCAATTGGCGCTCTTCAAGCTCCACTTTTTCCCTGTTTTGTTGCTTAGTGTAATGTGGCCTTCCCCCCTCCTCCTCGTCACACATCATGCTTTAACTGTATTTCATAATATGCATGTCGTTGTTATTAGAACTGCTTGTTTGCATGTTCCAATAAACTGCAAACACAAATGCAAATGACACCCATACACGCTAAACTAAATAAAGACAGGCAGCCACACAAACAAATATCAGTAGCGCTATTAATGCACGTATGACACTTACTAAAGCACAGATTTATATGCGAACTTATTGCATATATTCTAAATACTAGAGTAAACATGCGTAGTTTAATATGATAAACATTATAATCTAAACACTCGTCGCAGTAGTTTCAGTAAGTGTCATACACACACATCAATTGCGCCCACCCCCTCTACACTAACATCACAACCCCTCCCCTGCCCAAAAGCAGCTGTGTGTTTTTGTATCTAAATAGCTGTTTGTATTTAGTTTTTCGCCATAGTGACCTTCTTTCTTGGTGCTCCCCCCCAAGGCTTTTTGTCTTGTTAGATGGTAATTTATTATAATAACTTACGTAAAGTCCTGATTGAAATTCATTTGATATGTGGTCATTGTTGTTTGCTGATTCTTTCTTTGCTGATTATATATCTCTATCTGTATCTGGTATATCTCTCTTCTCTGGGCTTCTGGGGGGATACAGCACTTTCACTGGAGCGGAGCCAATTATGTCCAGATTTATTGCACTTTCTCGCCAGCGGAAATACACGGAAAAAACACACACAATCACAAGTACGCAGGCTGCGTAGTAAGTAAGCGTAGTGCTTCGGATTCGATTTTTTAGCAATTAAAATTTGTTTTCTGTTTGCGTTGTCTTTGTTGTTTTTGCGACTGTTTTTTCTATCAACAAACACAAACCAATGTGACCGCGGATTTAGCGACAAAATATACCGTCTGACCCTCAGAAATATTCCGCAATATATCATCTCATTTTCAAAATATACCGTAAATCTACCGAAATATACCGCTAATATAAATAAAACAAATAACAAAAACGTATTTTTCTTTATTTTAAATCATTCTTTTCTTTCTTGTTTGGTCTGAATAATATAAAACAAATCATCGTTTACAGTCTCCGTTACAAATTATAAGTGGTTTTAATTATTTTGTGTCAATATTTCCTTTTTATTTACATGTATGTTATTATTTATTTTCTGCATAACCTTGGGAAAAGGATATTATAAAATTTGGAAAATTAGTATCATCCGATGCCCCAATGAATGCAGAAACTAGTCAGTCTCTGTTTTAAATCTATCTCAACGAAATTTAGCAATTTGTTGTAGATATTTGCATAAACAGAACACAAAAATATTCATGAATATGATATGCCAAAAAATGTCAATCTGAGAAAGAGAAAAATCTCATTATTAATTAGGTCTCAAAGCAGCTTGGAGAAAAAGATATATGATATACAATAGCCATACTCATAGCTGAAATTGGTTGAAATGAATAAACATTTTATTGTATCTACACACAGCTAATTCCGTACACACATTGGCCTACTTTGCTTAAACCTTATTTTCTAAAAAATCCAATAGAAGGAAAGTCCTTAAAATTAGCCACCATTCTAGAAAATTGATTCATCCATCAGATAAAAGTATGCATTCAGTTCTGAGGCTCCTAGCTGGCTTTGTAATATTGAACCGAATATCAAAATCTATAAATATTTCCTGTGAACATAAACGAACGTTAACCCACATTAACCCATTGTCCACTAGTGGGTACTTATGTACGCACGTATGTATATAATGAAACTTGAAAAATTTCAACAAAGTTTATGTGAAAGATTTAATGGTAGTATATGTTTATAATCATTATAATACAATAATAATATACAAACAGTTGTTAAGCTGTTTACGTGGGTTAAGCTCGTTGTCTTGGTATATTTGCGAATACTTTTAAAATCAGTAGGTATATTTCGGTATTGTTGTGAGGGTCAGGTGGTATATTTTATTAGTAAATCCGCGGGGTCAGACTGCCATCGATGTTTTCTTTTGTTTTAAACCACAAATTTAATATGTAAAACTAAACATTTTGATCCATAAATATGACTAATCGATGCAGTACAGTGACGTGCAATAAAAACGCTTAAATCGTGAACAAATGCCAAGTCATTTCAGTCGAAATAACTCAATTTCACCCGTGTAGTATATATATTTTTTTCGTGTGCTACAAGAAATTTTCTCGGTCCGTTTCGGGGACGCATGAAAAATGGCGGCGTCCTCAGCTACGGCTGCAGCGGCGACCACAATACCAACAGAGGCAATAACGGAGGAATGTAAAGATGAAGATGCTATAAGCACGACACTGCATTCGTGTGCAAATGATCCTGATTTCGCAGTTATTTGTGCGTTTTTACAAAAATTCGCCAAAGATTTGGGCCTGATTTTGCCGAATTTTAAGCATTTGCAGGAGTGGTTGACAAACAACGATGAAGGTGAGTGCATGTGTGTGTGTGAGTGTGATTGAGAGGGAGCGCAATTGAATCACTGTTTTTGCTTTTATAACTTAAATGTATCAAAAGGAAAAACTATTTATTAGTCCAGTTATATAAAAGCTACATATATTCGTAGTGGTTTTTCTTGGGAAATGTGTATTTTCCATAACTTTAAACTAACACATGCTATGGAAATTCCAGCTAATTTTGCTCTCTCTTTTGACAACACTTATTGAGAGAGCGAGAGAGAGAGCGTGTAATGCGTGTGTTTGTAGTAATTGCATTAGTCAAACAGAGAGACTGAGAGTGAGAGCGCTGGTAAAGCAGTAAAAGAGAGCGCTGCAGTGTTGCATTTGTGAATGAAAGAGAAATCGTTGCAGTGTTGCACGAACAAAAACAAGAGAATTTATATGAATAATACTTACATTTACAATAATATTTAAGTTCCTGAGCTGAAGGATTTGCACATCAAACTGCTGCGAAAGACCCGCAAAACGGTGCACGAGAAGAGCTGGGAATCGGCTCTCAGTAAATTCTGTTTTGGATACTCTCTCCAAGATGCCTGGGAAATAGAACGCTTTGGCTATAAAAACTCCAGCCTAAAAGTGAAACTAAGGATATTTCGGGTAAGTTCGAATAGCTATCCCTTGATAAACCATTTACTAACATTATCTAATATTTTTAGGAACTCCTGGAGAGCCAATTCGAGCGCAATGTCAAATTTCGTGCCCACATACTCACGCAGAATTCGAATACCCTGCGATCGGAGCCCATTGGACGTGATCGACTGGGGCATGCCTACTGGTTGACCCAGGACGATGACTGCAATCTGCGCATCTATCAGGAGCATCTGGATGAGGAAATCTGGCAGGTGGTGGCCACCAATCGGGACGAATTCGTGAATCTTATTGCCAGGCTGCGTGGCAATGAGGTGGTGCTGCCCTCCAAGGATATTGGCGAGGCGGATGAGGATACGAGCAGCAGTAACAGTTGCCCTGCCAAGCCGCCACCACCCGAAGAGAAGGAAGAAGAGGACGAAGACGACGACGATGAAGACGAGGGGGAGAATGAAGAGCAGGCAGAGCCACAAATCAAGTTGGAGCCACCACCCGCGAAATTGGTGCCCAATTTGAAGATCAAACTGCGCTCTCCCGATCAGGACGAACAAAAGGCCAAAAGGGTCAAGGTAAGTATACGAAAGAGTGCCTTGAATCGGCAGTACCTAATGCTATTGCCCTTTTTTTGTTGCAGCCACTGTTCATCACGCAAACAAAACTGGGCGGCAGCTGCTCGCCGGCTCCGGCCAAGAAACGTTCCATTGAGGATGTGGACAGCAGTCCCACAGAGTCGCTGGAGGAGCAGCAAAAGAAACATCGACCCACGCTTTTGGATACCAAACGCATCAAGAAACCCAGCCGCTACGAAAGCACAAAGGATGAGAACGATGCCGAATCGGGCGACGACGAGGAGGAAGATGAAGATTCGGAACTCGATGAGGCAGAAGAAGAGGAGGGCAGTGGAGACGATGATGATGACGATGATGATATAGACAGTGCGGCAGCAGACATCGAAGAGGATGATGAGGAAGACAATGACGACGACGACGACGAAGTGGGCGAAGCCATTGAAGAGCCCACCATGACGGTGAGCGGCCAGGGCTCTGGCAGCGACTGTGATGCTGCTGCCACTGCCTACCCGCACGATGGCAATTTCCTAAGCCATTTCGATCAAGAAACGGACGACAATGAGCTGGAGCTGAGTGAAGCCATAGAGGAGGCTGTCGTCCATGTGTTTGGCATGGGCAGTGGCGCCGAATGTCTCGTGGGAAATGGCAAAAACGAAGCTCCTGCGGAAGAGGCAGCTGTGACGGCGACGGCGGAGGCGTCAGCGGCGGCATCAGCATCCACACATTCAGAGCCAAAGGCGACATTCTTTTTCGGTGAACCCGGCTGCCTGAAGCTGAGTCCCATTAAGCAAACACCAAAGCAGCAGGAAGCGAAACGAAGTATTTTCGATAGTCTAAACGAGGAGAAGACCAACGGGGAGAGTGGCACACCCAGAGAAGGCACACCGCCACGCAATGGCAGGGACCTAAAGGAGGAGCCGGAGCCCGAGACCGAGCCCCAAACCGAGCAAGTGGCAGCAACCAAAACAGGCAACGAAACAAAAGAAATCTCACAAGCAGCAGGGCATACGGAGGCCCAGGAAGCAACGAACACAGAACAGCCAGAATACCAGATCAAAGTGATTGAAACGAATGAGAAAATCTCGCAAGCACTTGAAGATAAGCCCACAACACGCAAAGACGATATTAAAGAAAGCAAAACAAAGAATATACAGGAAAAAGAGTTGGAAAATCACTCGAAAAATGAGTCAAATGAAGAGGAGGAAGCCGCGGCGTGCAGCGAAGCGTCTGTGGAGGCAATTAAGAGTCCTAAGGGCAGCGCAAAAGCTACTGAAAGCAATGCAGAACAAAAGGAAACTCAACCTGAAGCAATTGTCAATCATAATGGGCCAGTTCCAACAGAAACTGAGGCTTCCAAAGTGGTTAAGGGTTTGATGGCAGATACGGAATCGACTAGAAGTAGTTCGGAAACGATTAAAAGTAGCCCTGAAAAGGTTAAAGGCAGCTCTGAATCGTCTCAAAGCAGTTCTGAAACGATTAAAAGCAGTTCTGAAACGATTCAAAGCAGTTCTGAAACAACAAAGAGCTGTAAGGACGCTGCTTCGAATGAAACGGGACAAAGCAAAGCGAATCAAACCCAAAATGAAACCACAGCAGGTGGTAAACCTGTTCAAAAAGAATTGGAAACGGTTAAAAGTGATCTGAAAACATTTGTGGAGGATTCCAACAAGATTTCAGATGATTCCAGACCCAAGCCAAGCAGCGAGAAAGAACCTGCTGCCTCGGCAGTCCACTAGCATGAGCAAAACCGATGCTGAAAAGGCCAAGGAATCATCGCCCGAACCGGTTAAGGAAACGATTGTTGATACGACTTTGCTTCAAAGCAGTAAAACCCTTCCAAATGACAATAGTTCCACACTGCCGCCCAAGGAGCAGCCTAAGATCGTCGCCGAATCGCCGGCCACTGTTCCTCCCAAAGAGCAGGCAAAAGCCGTCGACACAGCCGTTATTCTTCCCCTGCCGAATGAGCAGCACAAAGCTATCGGCGAAGCGGTTATGCTCCCAAAAGAGCAACCCAAACCCCTCGCCGAACCGGGTACAACCGAAATGAAGTCCGAAACTAGCAATAATGGCTCTCACAATAAGGAAAAGCCATCAGAAAATGTACAAAACGATTTGCCCAGCACCTCCAAGGCTTCAGTTCCCAAGGACAATGGCGAAAAGAGGGAGCCTGCAGGCAAATCCCTGCCAGTGGAAGCTCCAGCTGTAGAATCTGTACCTAAATTCGATTTGGCAACGAGCATCAAAGCTACAGCAAGTGATTATCTGAAGCCTGCAACGATGCTGCCCAATCGCAAGCGCCGCCTCAACGACTTTGTGGCCGCACCCGCCCGACCATCCACCTCCGAGAGCGAAGTGGATGCCCAGCAGCACGAGGAGGAAATCGATGAAGCGCTGGACGATCTGGATGTGGGTGGCAAACGCATTAAGATGCGTCCCAAGACCTCGAATGTGGAGGCGCGTCGCAAGGTGGAGGCACAGAAGACCCAGGTCGAGGAGACGACCTCGTCCAGCGGCGAAGAAGATGCGCGAAGTCGCCGCAAGATTATAGCCCCAAAGCGGCACTTGGAGAAGGCGCCCGTGACCAAGCAGAAGCCAACGCTGGCCGAGATTATCGAGAAGAAACTGAAGAAAACGCCCGAAAAGGTGGCCGAGTATATGCCCGACAAATTGCCAGAAAAGGAGCCTGACAGTAGGATGCCCGAGCAGCACACAGAACCAATGCCAGCGGCGACACTGCCGCCAGCGCCTGCCAGAGAAGCAACGCCACCCGCTCCGTCCTTCAGTCATCCGAAGAAATCGCCAATAACAAAGCCGCTGAAGAAGAATCTGCTGACGCAGATGCGACAGGAGGAAAGCGACGAGGAGGCCGTACCCAGGAAGCGTACAAATAGTGAGACAGTAGCACCCACACCAGCACCTGCACCGCCACCTGCTGTGCTGGAGGAGCGTCAACGCAAGCGTCGCAGCAGCGAGGATGCCAAAGATTCCAGGGAATCTTCGTGCAACGAGGCTCCACCGGCAGTCAGCGAGAAGCTGAAACGCAACAACGAGCAGGACATCGCGGAAGAAGAGGATCAGGGCGCGTCGCCATCTCCATCCAAGGAGAAGGCTGTGCGGGCAGCACCAACCAAGGAACAGCTGCCATCGCCTCTTCCCCTTTTAATCAAGGAGAAGATTCTGCACGAAGCACCTCCGTCGCCGCCACCAGCCACGCTGGCTGCATTGCCTTTGATGCTGCCACCACCCAAAGAGAAGTCTCCAGCAGTCAAGGAGAAGTCTCCACCAGCCAAGGGGAAGTCTCCGGCGACCATTGCACTTAATGAGAAGTCTCCGACGGCAATTTCCAGCATGGAGAATGCTTTGGCGACTAATCCCATCAAGGAGAAAGATGCGTTGCCCTCCCCATCCACGGAGAAGACACCATCGCCGCCAGCAGCAAAGGAGAGGGCACCGCCACCCGCCAAGAAGAGGTCTGTGTCGCCACCACGAGCCTTGGTGAAGGACACATCGCCGCCGCCAGTAAAAGAGAAGATTCCGGCGATAATTCCAAGCAAAGAGAAGGCTCAGGCTCCCGTGGCACCAGCAGCCAAGGAGAAGACTCCCGTGGCACCAGCAGCCAAGGAGAAGACTCCCGTGGCACCAGCAGGCAAGGAGAAGACTCCCGTGGCACCAGCAGGCAAGGAGAAGACACCCGTGGCACCGCCAATCAAGGAGAAAACTCCAGTGTCGCCGCCAGTTAAGGAAAAGTCTCAAGTGGCAGCGCCAACAATGGTGAAGGTTCCTCCATCGCCACTCAAAGTGAAGGAGCTGTCGCCAGCCCCAGCCCAAGTGCAAGAGAAGCCGCGAGTGGCAGCGCAGATCAAAGAAAAGTCTCCAGTGCCAGCGCAGGTCAAAGAGACGACCCCAACGCCGCCCCAGATCAAAGAGCGAGCTGCAGCGCCAACTCAAAGTCTCCCAGTCAGAGAGTCATCTCCGCCGCTGCCCGCGAAGGACACTTCATCCCCTCCCGAGGGCTCTGCGCGTCGTTCCGGGCGTCGTGGTGGGGCCGCCGTAGTTTATTCGGAACTGCCGCAACCCAAACGAACGCGCGGCGGACCCAAGGAGAAACCCATGCCCGAGGCAAAGGCAGGGGTGAAGCATGAAACCAGTGAGGAGGAGGAAGAGGAGGACGAGGTGGAGGACATTGAAGTGGATCCCCCAAAGGTAGCAACCAAATTAAAGGCTCAAATAAAAACAGAAACGGCAGCAAAGAAGGAGGAGGCGCCTCTCCAGAAGAAACCTCTGAAAGAGGAGAAACCTCTACCCCCCAAAGTGGAGGCACCTCTACCCAAAGTGGAGCCAACTCCACCCAAAGTGGAGGCACCTCCACCCAAAGAGGAACCCCTGAAAGAGCAGGCCCTCCCAGAGCCAGTGGATCCCCTGGATGAGGAATCCATCGATATGGATCCCCTGGAAAATGAAACGAAAGTCAGCGAAGCCGAAGCCGAAGCCAAGGCAGAAGCGGCGCCCGCGAAGCAACCGGTGGGCCGTGGACGCGGTCCGCGCAAGAAGCGCGAGGTGGACACCACCAACATCATTGAGTGCGTGGACTCTGAGACGCCGGTGCGTCAGTCGCGACGCATTGCCCAGCAGAAGATCAAGGAGGAGGCCGAACGGCGCAAGCAGGAGGAAGTGGCACTGCGGTCCATGAAGCAGGAGCTCAAGAAAAAGAAGAAGGCCCAAAAGGAGCAAGATCCCACAGTGCCCGAGCCGTCGAGGAGCGAGGAGGAAGAGGAGGAGGACGAGTCCTCGGAGGCCAGTGAAGCGGAGGAGGCTAAAAAGAAGAAGAAGAAGCTGCCGGGCAAGGATGGCTGGTCCTCGGACTCGGATCAACAGGCGGACAGCGAGGAGGAAGAGGAGGAACCACCACACTACGACACAGATCCCGGCTCGCCGCTCTTCCGCTCGGATCACGAGTTCTCGCCCGAATCCGAGCTGGAAGACGAGTCGCAGGTGGTGCCCATGAAGCGCGCCCGCACGGTGCGCAAGGAGAACGAGGAGGACTACGATGCGGACGAGGCGTGCAACGAGTGCGGCAAGTCCGACCATCCCGAATGGATCCTGCTCTGCGATACGCCCAACTGCAACAAGGGCTACCACTGCTCCTGCCTCTCCCCGGTGCTCTTCTACATACCCGAGGGCGACTGGCACTGTCCGCCCTGCCAGCAGGAGCATCTGATCGTGGCCCTGGAGCAGCAGCTGCTGCGCTTCGATCAGATGGTCGCCCACAAGCAGCAGGAGAAGCGTCTGGCTGAGGTGGCCGAGCGCGAGCGACAGCAGCGGGAGGCCCTCAAGCTGGCCGAAGATCTTGAGGCCTCCAAGGCGGAGCGCCATGCCCGTCACGACGACGACGACGACGATGATGATGATCGGGATGAGGCGGCCAGCAAGCAGAGCAAAGCGGACAAACCCAAGAGACGCCGCGGCGACGGGCGCAGCAATCGCAAGGCAGCCAAGCGCGGCACAAGACGGCGACGCGGCGGCGACTCGGACAGCAGCAGCGGCGGTGCGGGCAAAAGCCAGTCCGGGGGCAGTGCCTCCGGCTCCGGGTCGAGCAGCAACAGCAGCAGCTTCTCCGATTCGGACGATGAGCCCATCTACAAGCTGCGCAAGCGCCGTCAGATCAATGTCAGCTACCGCCTGAATGAGTACGACGATCTCATCAATTCGGCGCTCAAAAAGGAAATGGATGAGGTGGCCGGAGCGGGCAATCTGGGCCGCGGCAAGGACATTTCGACCATTATCGAGGCGGACAAGGAGAAGGCGCGTCGCGACGACTTGCCCGAGGACGATGAGGAGCAGCAGGCAGCGCCCGAGGAGCAGGCTCCAGCCTCTGTGAAGGCAGAGAAACCCACAAAATTCAGCAGCAGCTCTGACAACGACGACGACGACGACGATGAGGTGCCCCTGAAGCGCAGCAAATCGAAGCAGCCGCCAGCGAAAAAGAAGGCCCGCAAACTGACCACGCTGGATGTGAGCTCCGAGGAGGACCATGGCAGCGATGAGGACTTCAAGACCTCCAGCTACACCGACGAGGACACCTCACAGTCCGCCTCCGATGACTCGGACTCCAGCTTGGAGGTGTACCGGCGTCCGGGCCGCGGCAAGAAGCAGCGAAAGGCGGCCAGAAGAGCAGCCCGCGAGCGTCGCAAGGATCGCAAATTTGTGGTCGAAGAGAGCGACGAAAGCGAGGAGGAGCTAAAGAAGCCCAAGTCCAAGAAGAAGAAGAAGGAGGATTCCGACTACACGGAAACGGAGACGGACGACGACGAGGACAATGGCTCCGAGCTGACCGAGAACATGGACAGTGCGGATCTGTGCGACGACACGACCAGCGACAGCGAGGATGGCGCCTGGCATCCGTCCAAAAAGAAGAAAACAAACAAGAAGTGCAGCTCGGCCGCGGGCATAGCCAGGAAATCGCCCAAGCTGAAGAAACCCGCGCCGCCGGCCAAGAAGCCGAAACGCTTGGAGTACTCCGACGATGACATCAGCGAAAGCGAACCGGAGGAGGAGGACGAGGACGATGATGAGGGTGCGCCGATCTCGGGCAAGGGTTCGGGCAAGCAGCCACGCTCACAGCCGCTGAAGCCCAGCGCCGCCACCGCCGGGCAGACGGGTGGCAAGGGCAAGGGCAAGTCGGGCAAGTCCAAGAAGAAGAAGCCCCCATCCACCGACGAGGACGAGGGAGCCGCCTCGGATGAGCGGACGCGGACGCGCGGCCGTCGCTATGCCTACATCGAGGACTTTGACGACGACAGCTCGGACGGCGGCATCAAGCCGGGCGTCCATCGGCCGGACACACCGCCCGAGGAGCGCCAGAAGTTCATCCAAAAGCAGGAGGAGATCAAACGGATGCTGGCCGAGAAGAATGCCGAGGGAGCCAAGCTGGCGGCCACGCCACGCCTCACGCCCATCAAGGGCACGGCACCGGGTGGCCAGGCGGCACCCAGCGCCGGTGCCGGCGCCGGCGCCACCCAGGAGAAGCGAACGCCCAGCAAGGGACCAGCTGGTGGGGGGGACTCGCTGTCCACGGTGCCGCTGTCGGTGATCCGGCAGGCCAAGGTGCTGGACATTGACTATCTGCAGCGCAAGGGCGAGACGATTGGCGACCTGGACGACAAGGACGAGTCCGAGGAGCTGGACGATGCCGAAATGATGCTCGACGATGCCGATCTGCCCGAGGACATGGAGGATGCCATTGCCCGGATGGTCGAGGAGGAGGAGCAGTTCAGTGCAGCGGCAGCCAGAGAGCTGCCCGGACCCGAGGAGGTGCTGCGCACCACACCCGCCAAGGCCAAGGCCAGCAAAGTGTCGACAGCAGCCCCAGAGACGCCGCCAAATCCTACAGTTCCTCATGCAGCAGCAGCAGCAGCAGCAGCCGCAGCCGCAGCCGCAGCGCCGCCATCGGGTCTGCAGGAGCCGCATCGCAAGCGTCTGCCCATGCCGACGATGCATCCGCCTCTGCTGCGTCATCAGTTTCCGGGGCCACCTGCATCTCTGCTGCCGCCGCCACATGGCATGCATCCCATGCTGCAGCGTCATCTGTCGCAGGGAGTGGCGCCGCCACAGGCCATGCAGCTGCTGCAGAATGCGCTCTCCGCGCCGCTCGGCCAGCCGCTGGGCCGTGGCAACTATCCAGCGCCACCGCCCTCGGCCCAGCACTTGCCACTAGTCATGTCCATGCCCTCGGCGGCGGCGGCGGCGGCTGCCCATCTGATGCACCAGGCCACGGTGGCCACGCAACAGGCGGTGGCTGCAGTGCCACAGACAGCCGGCCCCGCTCCGCCGGTCGATAGCAAGCCGCGTGGCAGGCGGAAAAAGGTGACGCCGCTGCGCGATCAATTGCAGAAGCAACAGGCGGCGGCGGCCGTGACGGCTGCCTCGACGACACCCGGCACAGCGGCGCCACCCGTGGACAAGATTAAGGGCGTGCCCGCGCAGCTGTTCAAACCGCACGACGATGCCCCCCCACCACCAGCCACAACGGTTGCCGCCGCCTCCTCACAGGCGTCGGTAATCACGCGAATGCCGACCCATCTGTCGGCGCATCCGCATCCGCATGCACGGGGCCCGCCCGCTGGCATGTATCCGAGCAGCGCGGAATTGGCTCGTTTCTATGGCCAACCGCTGCCGCCGCCGCCGCCCACCTCTGCAGCGGGCTCGCGCTCGCCATCGTCTGGCGTGGGCCCAGCCTCGTCGCCGGGTCCACCACGTCACCTGCTGCGTCCGCAAATGCCACCCGGCCTGCCGCCGCCCCACTCAGCGCTGCGACCCACCTACGGACCGCCGCCGCCGCTGCGAGGAGCGCCACCGCCCACATCGACACTGCCCAGCAGCGGAGCGCCGCCCAATGCGCGTCCCCCGTACATGCACGGAGCGGAGCATCACGGCGGACCGCCGCTGGGCAGTGTCTATGGCTCGGGACCGCCACCAGCGAGACATGCCTCGCCCCACTTGAATCCCTACAGGTGAGTGCTCTGCTCGAGACTTCCTGGCAAGGGGCATTTGCTGATTACTTTTGATTGTGTCTTGCAGCCGCGGTCCGCCCATCTATGGCAATCCCAATTATCCGCCCCGCGTTGTTGGACCCCCAGGACCGCCCGGCAATATGCGTCCCGGTGCCGTGGACTATGTGGCAGGAGCACGTAAGTAGCTGGAACTGTGGGTCCACCTCTCTGAAGGTCTCTCTCTCTAATCTGGTGCATCTTTCAGGCGGCTATCCACCGTATGGCTACTATGCGCCGCCGCCGCCGTTGAGCACACCACCCGCCCATGCAGCACCCAGTTCGGTGATTGTGAGTGCACCGCCGGTGACGGTGACGCCCACAAATCATTCGGTATCCGCCTTGACGCGTGGCAAATCACCAGCTCCGGTTGCGGTTGCTGTTGCAGCTGCAGCGCCGCCAGCAGAAGTAATAGCAATTGCCCACAAGCCCCAGCAGCAGCCGCAGCAGCAGCAGCAGCACCCACCGCAGCCGCAGCCACAGCCACAGCCAACGGTGATAACGAGCAAAAAACTGACAACACTGGAGGCCTATCCTGTCGGTTCGCCAGCAGCGGTCATAGCAGAGGAGGATTCCGGCTCGGCGCACGACACCAGCGGACCGCCGTCCGTGGCGACGGGTCCAGCGGTGGGCGAGTTCAGTGGCTTGGTGAGCTACTTTAGCTCCCAGCAGGATGACTACGACACATAACAAGCGCCGCTGGGTGCCTAAAATACACAAAAACAAAAGGACTGTATATAAAATGTAGCCCGTAAGGAGGGGATGGACGATGCGTGTATAGAGTGTGTTGGAGGAAGCCTAACCGCTGCTTTAGGCCACTTATTGCAAATTGAAAATCCTACAAAACCCAAGCAATAGAAGCAGAAATACGTTGAATTTCGTGCTGTATTTAAAATTGGTATGTTTCGTTTCGTTTGATGATTTTGTATTTTTTTTTCTAAATCTGAAAAGGAATTTCTCTACCACATTTTACAATTTAATTTATTTTCCCCCCCTGCCCGCGTCATTTACTTGCTTGTGGCTCTTAGAGTTTATTAGCTAAAGGCAAAAGAAACCATCAACTACGTCTAGTATTTTACATTTAGCTGTATTATTATATTATTCGAAGCATTAATTTAGATATTGATACATACCATTAAATACTAAAAGAACGAAAAGAAGAAACAAACTAAAAAGCATAAACTAAATAAATGGAATCACACGACAAACATCATAGGCTATAGATGGATGGATATATATATGGATTTAATATATATATATAGTAGAATACAAAACGCAATCTTTGTAAACTAATTTATAGCATACAGATTAATCTAATAACTAAACTAATGAAAGGATACGCATGTAGGGGGGTTCGTATGTTAAACAAATTAAATTTAAATTTACCATTCGTTGAAACAAACAAATACAACAGAATGCAAATGGTATACTAGAATCAAAGAGAATGGCGACGAGGACAAGCAACAACCCGTGTATTAATATAAACAAAAAAACAGCAAATAAAACTATTTATCATTAGTTACAAAATATATACAACTAAATAGAAATGTTTTTTGTATGGCAGGCACATGGCTTATAGCAGCTTCTATTTACAATTCCACTTTACAGTTTATTTTAAATATATGGGTAAGGAATATCAGAACTTTAGAGACTGGTGAGGATTGTACAGAAATATATAGCATGCGAATGTCTTTATATCTGTGCCTGGTACGAACTGAAACTTAAGCTTCGATTTTATTTTTTATTATTATTTTATTTATTTTAATTGTGTTTTTATAATCTTTTTCGTGAGATCATATTATTTTCTTGAAGATAAAATTAAAAGAATACTCCTATATATACCCCTCATATATTTGGTACAGATTTGGAGCACCTTCTTTAAGAACTATTTCGATACATTTGAGAGCTACTAAGACTTTGCATACTTGTTAAAGGTTGTTTAATATTTGCTTGGCATTAACCAAGATTTGTTTTGGCATAAGCCAAGTACTTGACGACACGGCAATGGTAGAGGAAAAAGCAAACCGTTTTTACTTTCGTAAATGCTAGAATTACTTCGCCAAATGAAGGTAAGGTTTTGATGGTTTAGAAATTGATGCTATATAATATAAAGCAATTAGAAATGGGATTTTCTATATTCGTATGCTAAATCAGAACCGATCTCTCACGTGCATCATTCGATTTCCAAATTAAATACCAATAAATCTCTATTTGAAATGTTTGAAAAGTTTAAATACATATTACTTGACCCATAGGCGTTGGACAACTCTATTGAAGGTTATTTAATCGGCTTTAGAAAGTCGCATAGAAATTCGCAAATTCGAAATGTTTGCCAAAAACATAAAAAAAAAAGGTGAAAACTATGTAAATCAAACATCTGCTTGGCACTATGTGTACGAGTGCCCCATTAGCATAAAATTGTGTGGCCATATTTGCATAGAGGGCACTAAAATTCAGAGCTGTTAAAAGGTTATCTGCTTAATGATATTGGTGTGGCAAGTGTGGCTTAAATTTATGTTTAATAAAATACAAAAATCAAATTTCAAATTATTTCCGATATTTTAAGATATATTCTTTCCCATGGAAAAACATTTGAATCTGATTACCAGTTTGAGGTGCTAAAAGACCTGGAATTTTGATACTAGTTTTGATCTACAGCTAGCTATAAAATATTTTTACATAATCTCTACTAGTTTGATGAATTAACATAGTCACATTAATTACTATATCAAAAGCCAGTGACCGTAAAATGCAGTTGCCACATACATAGATACATCTAGTTTTTTTCCGAAGTAAAGGTAAACTTTTCTCTGTAATTTAACTTTAAAATAATATTTATTAAACACCCCCTATCATGGTATTTTCAGGTCAATCCAATTGATGTGTAATATTTTAGGGGATTTAGCAATAGAGGAACCTTCAAAAGTACAACGAATTAATCCCTGGAATGTAGGGATATTTTTTGCTTTGCAGCTACTGGAAGTGTTCCATAAAATTTATGGGTAATATTTTTTGTGACTCTAAAGGGTGTCTGAAATTAGAAGCTCATCTAATTGAAGGTATAAAATGTATGGCGAATTTTTGTTACCCTCTGAAAATAATTATTTATAATTTACTATTATTATTTATTGTTCCGATTATTTTTTAACCTTCTGCATTGTGCAGATGGCCTCATTGCTTGCTTGCACCTCCCATAACAACCAACTGTTGCATATTTGCTTCTTAGGTGCTAAATACTGTGCTCCACGATACAGTGGCCTGTCGTCAGACAACCTACAAGTGATATTTTCTTCACTGCAAAAAAATAAACAAAAAAACTATTGGCGGCCTCGTAAAGATCATACGATGTATTGAATTATTTAAACTGCAATGTGTACTTGCAAATTGGCAAATATGTGTTCGACTTCTGGTTTTGAAGGGGCCCGCCCCTCTTTAGTGGGTCACAAAAATTCCACATAAAATGTACACTTTGAATTAAGTGAGTTATTAATTTGTGAACCGCTTTAGAGTTACAAAAAATATTCACCTTACATTTTATGAATCATTTCCTGGGGCTTCTGCTCTACAAATTCACAACAACAAAAATATTCCAACATTTTATGGATAAATTGGAGTTTCTTTTGAAGGTTCCTCTTGCGGCTCTTTCGGTAAATCCCCTTAAATGTTACCGTGCTAGTGGGTGAGAGGGTGTTGGAGATCTACATGATCTGTTGCATCGAGTGCCATTGAGCACGGCACAAATACTCTCCTCTCAGTGAAGTGAAATCTCGAGGAGAGCTCTCGTTGGGAGTGCTCCAACCGCAGCGATTGCCAATGCTGCTGTTATGGCCTGCTCCTAAGGTCATTTTTGTGTAATCTTTTGTTGTTGGGTGACTTCTTTTTTTTTTGGCCAATACTTGTGCGAATTTTATGGCTGAATTTTGATGGCTTAAATTTAAATATCTATAGACAGGCAATCGAGCGGGGTATCGCATAACACTCGAGTGGTTCGAGTGGTTCGATCGAGTCCCTTGCAATTCCCTCGGACTCTTTTTGGTGTTTTTACATTTTTATAATTTGTTTTTTAATTTTATTTTATTTATTAGCTAAAAAATCTCAACGGGAACTTTGCGTAACAACAAATAATCAACAACAATGAAGCGAGAGGGAGAGAGATGGAAGGCCGCTTGTTAATTTAACAAGCGATCGAAAAATCGATCCTCCCCTTCCTTCTCCTCCCGTGAATGGGCTGTGATGATCACTGATCAGCGATCAGCGATCAGCCTAGAAGCGGAAACGCTTGGCGGGCACATTGTACTGGTAGCCAGACGACTGCTGCTCCACGGGCGCGGAGTAGATGGGTCCTGGTGCGGGTGCGGAGTACTGGGGCTGGGGTGCGGGTGCGGGTGCGGAGTAGATGGGTCCAGGTGCGGGCGCAGAGTACTGTGGCTGTGGGGCGGGGATATCCTGCACGGGGGGCAGGTATTCGGGCGCGGGAGCTGGCGCCGAGTATTGTGGTGCGGGCTGAGTGTAGACTGGAGCTGGTGCTGGCGAGAACTGTGGTGCCGGGGCAGGAGCAGAGTACTGTGGCTGGGGAGCGGGGATGTCCTGAACAGGAGGCAGGTACTCAGGCTCGGGCGCCGGGGCAGAGTATTGTGGGGCAGGAGCAGAGTAGACTGGAGGTGGGGCAGGAGCCGAATACTGGGGCACGGGAGCTGGGATGTCCTGAACAGGAGGCAGATACTCCGAAGTTGGTGGAGGAGCCGAGTACTGGGGTGCAGGTGCTGGCGCAGAGTACTGTGGCGCGGGTGCCGAGTAAACTGGGGCAGGCGCTGGCGCAGAGTATTGTGGGGCAGGTGCAGAGTAAACTGGAGCAGGAGCTGGCGCAGAGTACTGTGGCTGGGGAGCGGGGATGTCCTGAACAGGAGGCAGATACTCCGAAGTTGGAGCAGGAGCCGAGTACTGAGGTGCAGAGTACTGTGGCGCGGGTGCCGAGTAAACTGGGGCAGGTGCTGGCGCAGAGTAAACACCGGAGCTGGGGCAGAGTAAACTGGACCCGGCGCCGATGGGATGTTGAACGATGGCGAGGGCTTGTTGTACGAGTATCCACTGCCACCACCACCACCACCGCCGCCCAGATTCAGATGGGAGACATCGGCCGCAACCACAGCGATGGCGCACACAGCAAACACGAAGAGTTTCTGGAAAGAAATTGGTTGATCAATTAGCAATCCGAGGCCCAGGTGATCTTGACCGACTCGATGTACTCCACTCACCATTGTTGTTGATTCGTTGGAACGGGGGGGAGTTGCCCAAAGTTCGTTGGATTTGTTGGGGTGTGGTGAAGCTTTGGCCAAGAGACACTGAAGCTGAATGATGACCCACTGCAGATGGGCTGCCACTTTTATACCAAAAAAACCAACTTCAGACTTGGCCCAAAGATGCGTCTCGGTTTCGGTTTCGGGCCAGCTGTTTGTTCGGGCTCTTCGTCTGTTTGGGGGTCTTGGTCTCGGTCTTCTTCGTCTTGCTTGTCAAAGAAGAGGCAGAAGAGGAAACAAAAATGTTATAAGCAGATGAGAGCGTTCGTTAACCCCCCAATGGGTGTGTAAATTTATTAATTTATAATTTATTTAAATTAATTTTTTATACCCGCACTCAAAAAAGAGTCAAGTGGTTTATTGTATTTGTGGTAAAAGTGGATGTGTGCAACGCAGAGAAGTGTTACAAGTGTATTTCAAAATATTAAAGATACAATAAAACGATAAAAAATGTGAATTTAAAAATTTTTTAAGTTCTACATAAATTATAAGCTCAACGAGGAGGAACGTGTGAGTCGCTTCTGGGGACGCGACTCTAATTATACCCGTACTCAGTCAGTATATAAATTTTTGCGATTATGATTTATGCGATATTTAAAAAAAATTTTAATTTTCATTTTTTAGAGTAAAGTAGAGTCGCGTTACAAGAAGCGACTCACACGTTCCTTCTCTTTCGTTTTTACCAATTTTGAAGATCATATGTAAAGTGGCGAAGTTGCATGGGGAGACATGTTCAACACTTTTCAGTTAAATAGCTTGTAAAATGATTAAAAATTTAAACATTTTTGTGATTTATAATTAAGTTTTATTTTTAAGTGTTTTGTGGAAAGGTCCTTAGTTTTTATTACACTCTGAAAACGTTTGTGCAAAAATTTAGAGTGTTGTAAACTCTATATATTGAACCTATTAGGTACACATCTTTATTAATGAATATAGTTAAAGTATTTTAATATAATATAATTTTATGTAAATTGTAAATGGTATGATGGTTCATTTGCATCTTGCATTAAATCTATATGCATTCAAAACGAAGTTATAAGTGCCCCGCAACTCCCCCTAAGGGTTAACAGTCGCACTCTCTCTCTCTCACTGTCTTTCGCTACCGGCTTGAGCGCATGCGCGCGCGTGCATGTGCGTGTGCGTGTGCGTGTGCGTAGAGGCAGTGGATGATCTGCCGCTCACCTGCCATCGCGTACCGCTATCCGGCTGGGGGTTTTGCAATGTCAATAGGGCAAGCCATGGACACGCCAACACTCATTTGCATGCCATGTGATGTGGGGGCAGAAGTGTGTACACAATCAATTTAAGGGCCGCACAAAAATTCAAATGTCAAAGGTTAACCTCTCTCTCTCGCTCTCCCTCTCTCTCCCTCTCTCTATTTAAACTCAGAGCAGACTTTTGGTTAGCGGAAATTTGTCTGCTTTAACTATTAGTCGGTGCTAATGGCCACAAACTACATGCTTGGACGCCGACGCCGCTTGTCCGCCGCTGGAGCTTGTCCAGCGAACAAAAAATAAAAAAACTCAAGGATGCCCGCTGGACTTACTATTTTTAATCTCAGTGAACTTGTAAGCTAATGAAACAGCTGCTTATGCTGCCTGCCCTGGCCGCCGGCAAACGGCCGTCATTTAATTAATTTGAATATGATTTAGGGTCGGCCACATGGTCGATGGGTCTGTGGGTCTGGCTCTGTGTTCGGTCCAGCCCTGTCTATGTAATAACTCCATGAAGACATCAAGACATCAAATGCAAACCAAACAACGTTTGTATGGCACTATTTTTTAATTGTTATTTTATTCGCAACATCAATTTTAATCATTTCGCTGTGGCACGCACTATTTTCACTTTTAGGCGGCAGTTTGTTTCTCCTTTTTTTTTTTTGATTGTGTGAACTTTTACTCAATCATGAGGTGGCAATTTTTGTATATGCCCTTAAAGAGGGTATTATGATTTTTGTAAGTTTCTGAATTCTGTGGAATACTATTTCTAGGCAATATAGTTTTAGTTTTCGGGAACCTTTTTTTTTAATGAAAGAAAATATAGCAAAATGATTTAAGAATTCTAGCAGATGAATTATAATAAGAAATAAGATATTCGATTCTATCAGATAAATTAAAATCAGAACAAAGATATACCAGAGATATGTACATACATATACTTACATATCTGATACGATAAATAATTTTAACTTCTTTTCTATGAAAGTCAAAGATTTATCGAAAACAGATGGACCAAAAAGTATTATGCGAATAATTATGAGTAGGATCCTTGCCTCATCATATCGTTTTCTTTTGGCAAAAACTAATGCCTATCCTGACTTGAATTATTTTTAAAAGCAATTAAATTAATTGACATTAAAAAAAATATATTTAAATTAATACATTTGACATCTCCATTTGCATTGTCTCATTAAAGCGGTCCAAAAAAAGGTGCAACTTTACTTCGTTTTCCCCTCGTTATTGTTTCCATGAATTTTGATTGTTTGACATATATATTTTGAATTGATTTTTCGTGCATTGATGCTGCTGCTGCTACTGTGACCTTCAGAGAGACGCCCCAGACATGACAGACAAAGTGTTTTCTTTCTTCTTTTGATTGTTTGATTGTTGTATAAACTGAACTAATCATGGCTGTTGATCTGCTCGCTTACATACACGTATTTGTTAATGTTTAATGCATTTATGCAGGGCAGACCAAGCATTTGAAAGCATATTTCACTTACAGCGAAATGAGTTCATGCGGATCGTTGTCGCGAATTTGCTTAGCCCACTTATGGGGCCATCCATCAGTCAGTTCGGAGGATGGAATCGGAATCGGATTGGCTGGGGTGTGTGACCAAAAAGGCAAACGCATAAAAAGAGGCAAATAAGCCAAACGGAGGCGTCGTCATCATCCGCTTTAAATGCTCTACGTCTAACAATTTAAACGTCACAAAAGCCCCCAAGAAAAGCAACAGCAAAATGGCTTGCATAAAAATGATTAGCTTTGGTCCAACTTAATTAACCAATTAGCTAACCATATTCAAAAACCTACAACAAATATGTTTAAGCCAATTTTAGTTTTAGTTTGTGTGTCTGTCTGTGCGCTCAGAATTATTAATAATATGCAATTTGCATTGAGGCGGGATTGCAGGCCATTCTCATTTACATATGCCACCAATTTATCATTCCAAATGTTGCCTAATAAATAATTTAGTAGCAATGCTGGCAAATCGGTCGTAAATGTGTTGCTAACTGATTTTAAAATGCGGCAAATCTATGCTTAGGCATGGCCCACTTGCAGACAAAAAAAGTTTGGAAAATAAAAGATTAATAATAATTTAATAATAAAAATAATAGTAATAATATACCTTAAATAACCAGTAATAATAGTCTGATAGAGTAGTCCCCGCCCTAAATTACTTTTTAGACGGTATCTTGGATACGGAGCAGAGATTCTGCAAGAGAAAATGAAGAGATTAGCAGCTGAATGCAGCAAGCAGGTGGGAAAGTGTTAGTGGGGCATGGGGAGCTCACTATATCCGATAGCTGCTATAGCTGGTGGGTCTCGTGGTGATGTCTGTTTTTTATTTTTCTAAATTTGAATTTTGTATTTTCCGCGCACTTTTAAATTTGCCAGCTGACAAAAGCAAGCGGCTGCAGCAAAAGGTGAACTAGTTAGTTCATGAACCACTCGAACTGACAACGCAAAAATGAGTCTGAGAGAAATTAATTTTTTCCCCGATATATTACGGTACATTTTGAAAAATGAGAAGGTTTCTGAGAGTATATTTGATCGACAAATCCGTAGTCATACTGGTGGCCAAGAAAAATGGTCCAGCCTGACTGTTTACGGTATATTTATATAGTTTTCGAGATCAAAATTGTCGTCAAAATCGAGCTCAAAGTGTATTTACGGTATATAAAGGTATATCTCAATCTATTTTTAATATATTTAAGTACTTTTCAAAATGACCGCTCATTTAGCGCACCCGATTCCGTTGCGTTTTTGAGTTTGCAATAGTTAGAGATACTAGAAAGTTGGAATTTCTCATTTTTGCGTCAAGAAGTGAGCTGCAATTGGATTTTTATAATTCCAATACCGTTTCTCCGCAATTGGGAAAAATCCCATACCGTTTTTCTGCAATTGGGAAAAGTACACATTCCCAACCAGAAAATAGAGACCATATTTTTGAGTTTGGCCAAAGGTTTCATTTTCAAATATCGGAATTTGAAACTTGCAATCTGCGGTCACACTGCCGCCACCCCCACCACAAAATTTTTTCCCTGACCCGATTCCGTTGCGTTTTTGAGTCGCAGGTAAACAAAATTTAAAAAAAATACGAAAGAAACGTCAAGTAAAAGAAAAATCCGGAAATATTAAAAATAATGTATGATAATGCCTTTTACATGGCACTGTGGATGAAAAATAGTGAAGTGTGTGTGAATTTCCCAACAAATAAAAACAACCGAAACGTTCAAGTTAAATTGTATTAAACAAAAAACCCATACCCATGCAGCCGCAAGGCCGCAAACAAAAGTGCAATGGAAATGTGGCAGAGGGCACAGGTTTTATTCCAATTGCATATGAAAATCCAAATCAAACCAAAATCGGGGCCGAAAGAAGAGTAACACAAATATAGCGAGTGACGGGCGCGCAATAAGATAAAATTGAAGGTTATTCTTTATTGTAAACAAAAAAGCAAGTGTTAAGCGGCAGAGTGAGACACACGCAAACACACACACACACAAACGGACACTCATAGAGCGACACGATAGAACGGGGCGCTGAAAAGAGAGCGCTGATGAGAGAAGAGCGCAGCTCTGGGCAGAGGAAGAAAGCAGCGCACAAAGCAAATGCTGAAAATGTCAATAAACTCTGCAAAAGGTGAGGAAAAACGCAACAAGAGCGGTGCTAGAGCGTGAGCGTGAGCGAGAGAGCTTGCTGTCGTGTCGTGTAAAATAAAACGCAAGCTGAGGGCAGAGCTGTGACCGCGGCAGAACAGCAACAGTGGCAGAATCGAAGAAAGCAAGCAAGTGCAAAAAGAGAAATGAACGTTTTGGTGGCCAAACTTTTTATTTGTATTAAATCTTCTACTGCTCAAAGAAACAAAAATCTACAATCTTCCGAAACAAAAAGTTGTTCAAATAAAGAATTACAAATCCAATGAACAGTCGTTGACTGACTCTCTCTCGCACTCTCGTGCCCGGAAATACTGCTAAAGAAAGTCGCTGCTCTCAGACCCACACACACACACACACCCAAAGAAAGCTGCTGCTGCGTGTGTGTGTGTAGGTTCTTATTGGGAATGGCGTGTGTGTGTGCAGAAAAAAACTGCAACTGCAACTTCAACAAGTTTTGCAAGGCCTCTCTTTCTCCCTCTCTCTCACTCGGCTCTCTCTCTCTTCGCGCACAGTGAAGCTGCAGTTTGTTTATTTTATTGTCCATTTGCTGCTCGTTCTTGTTCTACCTCCCCTCCCACCCATACCATACCAGTGTACCAGTGCGAGTGTGTAATTTACCGTTAATAATTCACAGGTGAAAAATCAAAGCTGCGACTGCAATTTTCTCGTGCAATAATTTCGGAAAATCCAACGGCAACACAAACGTGCAAACTGTGCAAAAATAAATAATCTACACAAATTTTCTACGTAAAAATATTTAATGAAAAATGTTTAGTGTTTAATCAAAAAAATGTGGTGCAAACAATAATCAATTTTATAGAAAACTAATCAAAAAGCGCCCTGGCCTTGGGGCCGACCCACAAAAACAACAAAAAGTCGTATCAACAACGGAAAATTGTTTAGGGAAAATATCCACCACGAAGAAGAATCTTTTAGACTGAACCAAAACGGACAATTGGAATATAATAATTAATAATTTTGAAAATGGTAAGTGGCAAGATAGTTGCTAATAAGTATATAAGTATTTCGATTAATCGACCACTTGCTTTTGCTGTCAAGTTGAATGTGCAGTTATTAGTTCAAACTTATCCGTTCTCTCTTCTCTTTTGGTATAATATCCAAGTACACTTTAAAGATAAGAGCCATATTAGACGTAGAGTAACAGAAAGTAGTAGCAGAAGCCGAACAGCCATGATCCATCTTTCATACTCTTGGCCCCTCTTCCTCTCTTTTTATTTCGTTTTCGATGCCCTTTTTATAAGTAACACACAAGCAGGACCTACCAACAGGGTAGCAAAAGACCGACTCTCTCTATTTACTTTGAATATCTTCCCCATACCATGCTGCATCGCTCTCTTATATGTATAGCTTGGGAGGGGAAATATATTCACCTGTTTAATATTACGCGTAATTTTAAATCAATATAAATTTCGCAATAAATAAAGACTGACTCTGTAGCCGATCTTTATGTGGCAGTTACGTATTTACGAAATCTATCTCAATCTGGATGAAATTTCCAGAGCAAAGCTACCATATTTCTCTCTCTGTTTCGCTCCATAATGCACCCACTTGAGGCGGCACTAATACCCCCCTGCACGGCACAAGAAAGACCTTTTCAAGCATCACAAAATCAAAACAATTTAATTAACGCCTCGATGTACTGTACACCAGCGAAGAGGAGTCGCGAGGAGTGCAAGACAGAGCGAGGGTGGAATGGAGTGGAGTGGAGTGGAGTGGAGTGGGAGGGTAAGGTGACTGAAGTTCGGCTCCGAGTGGCTGGACGCTACCCGGTAACCACTTCAATTCATAACCAGTGAAATGTAACGGCGCCGTTGGTCACTTGAACTACTTTCGTATATATAACTGGAAGGGGTAGGGGCAAGCCACCATTCCCTGGGGGCCTCTGTCCCTGGCTTTGGCTTTGGCTTTGGCTCTGGCTCCCAGTTTCGAACCGTTGGCGTCGTCTGACTCACTCATTTTGAAGCGAAGTGCAATTGCAGCCCCGAAAACCGAACCGTACCCGAAACCCACCGTAGGCCAACACCGGAAATTGTTTCTGAAAGAAAAAGCAGAGCAGATCACAGAGCGGTGATCAAAAGGGTAGGGGTATGTGGCAGAGCAGGGGCATTGCTGATTTTGGAGAGTACTGTGGGCCAATGCATACCTTTTGAACAATATTACCCAGGCACGTTTTGAACTCTACCACACACACACACACACACACACACAGACACACATTTCTTCTTCTTCTCTGTTTTTGCTGCTTTCGCGTGTAGCTTGACCCAGAAAAATCAAAGACTCGCCAAAGACTCTTTGGGGCAGCACCGTAGGTGTACAGCGATGACGATGACGATGAGGTTGAGGTTGAGGCTGAGAAAAGGCTGGAAGAGACTGCGACTGCGGACTGGAGCATGGTGGAGCGGTCGATCGGTGGATTGGTGGATCTGTCCGTCTGTCTCATAAACCATTTTAAATGTTGGAGGGGCTCATTATTATTTTGACTACGTCGGCTTGCGGTTTTTGTGTTTATTAGCTGTTCTTTTTGCGCGTTTTAGTACCCTGGAAATTTAAAGTTGTATAATCCAATCAATCCAGATCAACGAAATCAAAGAATGAAGGAAATTTTAAATGCTATCGGGGAATTTAGTAAATCTCACACAGCCCCTATTTTCGCTTGTGCATCTGTGGAAAAATAGTTGTATTATCCACACTTTTAAAAGTAATACGAATAACATTTAGTAGGTCTGTATATGTACGTATATGCTATTATCTAGCTGTCTACCGAAAATCAACTCGATTGGTGCAAGTAAAACAAGAAATAATTTTTATATTAATTTAATTTAATTCAATTCAATAATTTTGGATAATTTTAGGCTAGTGCTCGGCTGTTGAGTTTTTATTCGTTTACATTCTACACACACACACCTGAGTATAGGGTACTCCCATAGTCGAATCCCTTTATCTGTTCTGTCTGCTGTTGTTGCAGTTTTTCTCTCCGTATTTCTCCTTTTCATTTCGTAAACTGGGTTTATGTGCGGTGGTCTTTTACTTTTATCATCGACTGCTGCGACTCTTTTCTCCCTCTCTGCCTGTCTCTCTGGAGGAAGGTTAACCGCGAATTTTGTAAGTTGATTGGCTCTGGCGGTTGGCGGCTGGTGGCTGGTGGCTGGTGGCTGGGGCTGTCCATCCGCATCGTCTGCTGCTTGTTTATGTTCTTGAACTCCTTTTAAGTGTGTGTGCGGCCCCGAATGTTAATTTACAGCTTTTGTTGTCATAACTCCAGCTAAAGGCAGGTGTGATTGTGGGGCAGCGCAGGGGCGGCATGTGTGGGGGGGCAGAAGCCTGCTGCAGGAGCTGCTGCAACACCCAAATGGGGATGGGGGATTTTAATGTGGCGGTAATGGGGCAACTGTGGCGTGCAACAGATTTATGGTGAAAATGTATGCAAGTAAGAGTCGCGTTGCTGCAGAGGATAAGTATGATAAATCGATGAAGGAAGTATCGATTTTTAATCGATTAATGCATGTATTTTTCGACGTAAAGGGAGAGAAATATGCACAAGGAAATGGATAAATATGAGGAATCTATGGAGGGTATGTCCACCAAATAAATGTCCAGCTATGGAGTGTTCGATGAGTGCTGGTTTTATTCGGTTTATATACAGTTTTGGATGGATGTACTTGGAGTATAAAGATTATATTCTGTTTATTACACCTATCTTGGGTTTTATCTACGTATCCTTCCTGCTGCCTGTTGCATATTTATTTATTTGTGTAATCAAATCCTATCGCCTTCTGGTCTATTATTTATTTAGGTCTACTAGTACTACTATTAATATTAATTGTACCCATGTTCATGTGTGAACCGAGAAATTATCGATTTTTAATCGATTAATGGATGGATGGGGATAGATCTTTAGCGGAGGTATCAATTTTTAATCGATTAATTGAGTGATTGTGATTTATTGGTGATCTATCAATCAAAAATCAATGTATTGGATATCATAAAAGTTTTCTATGGCTATTTCGTACATTTTTTGGCCTCCTCCAATTACTCCAAGAGGACGTCCAGTGGTGATCATAATTGAAGTTTAGTCATATCTCATGTCGATCTTGAACTGCCACAATACAGAGGAAATCACATCATACATATTTTCCGCTGCTCAGTCGATGGCTTTTGGTTGCCAGCTGTTAACCGGTTCTCGGAATGGATGCCTTGAGGCGTAGTCGTAGCACACCCCCCCACTTACAAAAACATAAATTGTTACATGCCACCAACAACTACCTCACCTCACCTCACCTCACCCCACCCACTCCCTCTCTCGTCTCTCTTTGCGGCCTGTAACTCTGACTGTGACTTGGCTAATTAGCAGTTAACAATTGCAGCATTGACCTCCTCCTCCTCCTTCATAGTTGTTCCTTCTAGCCGAACATCAAGAATGCTTTGGCGCTTTGTTCTATTGTTTATGGGGCGAGAGAGATCAAAATAAAAGATACAATAAACATGGCAGCAGGTTTACCTTGTTGGTAACCTCAAAAGAAGAAGAACTTGGCTCTCTCTCTCTCTCTGTCTTTTTGTCTCTGTTAAGCTGGTTGATTTAGAGGGGGGGCTTGTGGAGTGTCTCTGAAGCTCTTTGAAAAGCGCAACATTGTTGCTTTTGCCATTTTGATGCCATTTTTTATGCACTTCCCGGAGAGATAGGGTACTTTGGGGCACGTGTGGCACGTTCTGAAAGTTAGATTTATATAAATTAATTATGGAAACTCTTTTAGAACTGTATTTCATTACAAAAATCTCTCTTATTTGGCCCTAAATAATTCTTTAACCTTTTTGAAGTTACCCAAAACCTGCAAGAGTATTTCTAAATTCGTTTTCCAGCTTTCCTTGCAGCTTTCCTGTATTGTTGGCTGCTGCAGTTCGCCCGTTGCCGTTGCCTTTTGGCCGTCTGTTGTTGTTTTTGCCATTTTGTTTGATTTTTCGCCAACTGCCAACTTTGCCAATTGCCATAACTGTGCTCTGGTGTGTAGCCCGTTGCCCCGACATTCGCTGGGTCTCTTTTGTTGCTGTTGTTGTTGTTGTTGTTGTTGTTGTTGTTGTTGTTGTCTATATATGTGTCTATATAAACATGATAGTTTTTGGCCAATTTCTTGGCATTTTTTCTTTCTGTTTTTTTGTTTTGTTTTTCTGTTGTGTGGCAGGGGCCATGGCATGGTGCAACAAAAAAAAATAAAAACATGTTGCCTAAATGTTGTTGCTGCTGCTGCAGTTGCAGTTGCAACCAACTATTGCTGTTGCAGTTGCAGTTTGTTTCTGCTGCTATTTGTTGCTGCTGCTGCTGCTGCTGTTGATGGTTGTGTAACAATTGGAAGCCTTTTTGTTCGACTGGAAATTGAACTTTGGTTTGGCAACAGAAATCCTCAATGGGGGGGTCCTACTGAAAGTATTTTATATTTGATATTTGGGAATAGGATCGGACTTACAACATATTTAGCTCACATTTGCAGACATTTTTTTATTGTTTATTGCACATTTTATTGTACTGAACAATACGTCGTTGATGCTTTGTAGAATAAAATATGAAAGAAATTTTAATGAATATTAATTTAGGAACTTTTCAGTATTAAATTATGGAAACAAAAAATTTTATAAAATACATTTTAAACTCTTGCAAAATGCAGACAATCCTTAGTTCAGATTGTTTAAAATCTTTCCATATGAGGGTGTGACCTCTAATACCAATACAACTCTTATTGACTTTTAAGTTAAATTAAGAAAGAAAGTTTACAACATTTTTAGCCACGATAAGACAAATTTTTGATGTATCAGTTTTTAATAATTAAGAGACCCAAAATGTCAAATATAGGCTCAGAGCTTGGAACCAAACTGAGTTGGAAATATTTGAAAATCTATAAAATTAAATTCAACATGTTTCGAAAGACTTTTCAGTATATAAAAAAGAGATTTTCTAGCAATGTGTGATATTTTAC